TATGTGTTTTCATTACTCTCTGAGAAGAAATTTAAATTAGAATTTTAAAGGGACAGCTCACTCGATTTGAAAATCTGTTATCCTACTCGCCCTCATTTCTTTCCAGACACATATGTCTTTCTTGTATGAGTTGTGTACTGTAGCCTATTCACACCTTCTAAAGTAATTTGATAGCTTTGTGTGAAGAACACGAACAGACTGAAATTCAGACTGAAAGTCAATCAATCAGTCAGTCAGTCATTCAGTCAGTTCTCTTCAGCTCTTAAATCTCATGCACATTCCAAAGTTTGGGGTTGGCAAATTTTGTGTGATGTTTTGGAAAGAAGTGTCTTATGCTCACCAATGCTGTATTTATTCCATCAAAAAATAAATTTAAAAAACAGTAATTGCGAAATGTTATTACATAACTTCTCTATTCAATTAAAAATGTAATTTATTCCTGTGATGTAAAGCTGAATTTACAGCATCATTACTCCAGTCTTCAGTGTCACATGATCCTTCAGAAATCATTCTAATATGATGATTTGCTGATCAAGAAACATTATTATCAATATTGAAAACACTTAAGCTGCTTAATATTTTTGTGGAAACATTTTTTTTTTGGTCAGGATTCTTTGATGACATAGCAAGTTCAAAAGAACAGCATTTATTTGAAATAGAAATATTTTGTAACATTATAAATGTCTTTACTCACTTTTGATCAAATAAATGCATGCTTGCTGAATAAAAGTAGGCCCATTCATTTCTTCTTACTGACCCCAAAGTTTGGAATGGTATGCATGTTCAAATATTCTGCATCAAAGCGTGTCACACACCATTGATTTCAGTGATCCCGAATGCCATTGGGAATTTTGGCTACTTTGAATGTATGTATGTGCAAATGAGATACAGTATGAGAACTAATGGAGGTAATGGCTAAAAGACATCTTGCAAAAATCTCTTGATGCCATCGCTTCGGAAGTCTTGTAATATTGCACATGGGAAATAATGAATAAACAAATAAAATTGTTATTGTTACAATTAATAAATATAAAATTTCTCTGTTACCATTGTAATGTTTTGGATGCTGAATGTTGATCTCTCAAGCAAGGTCAATTTTTAAGATATTGTGACAACTACAGCGATTATATAAACCCAATTAAAAGTTTAATGTTTTGCAAGGTGTCTATGACATAAGTGTTAGCTATACAGTTTTAATAGATCATAATTCTACATGAAAAGTAGACTAATGATCTAGTTTGAAGTTTGGTCACCGTTTAAAAGCAATCTATTTATTACTTCGAAACCAAATAACTGTGATTTCTTGTTGCATCGCTGCATCAGTTGGAAGAGAATTATAGTGATATAAATTAAGTTCCAAGTGCCCAATCAAATGGAACACTAATCACCATAATGGTGACTGACTTTAAACGGAAATCAACATCAATTTATGATGGCAATTTATGTGATGTTCTCTCACAATTTTCAGTTGTATTGACAATTCAACATTCAAGAAGACTTTAGAAAATGAGTGAATGCAACTAAGGAGAAAGATAACTGCATAAGTGGATGAAATTAGTAAAAATCTATTAGGAAGTGCCCTGCCTTCAAAAATAAATCGCTTTTGCTTGACAAAATGGTACTCAAATCAATTCATCTATCTTGGGTTTTCTGAGTAATAAAGGCATAGTATGCAAATAGTACAGATTACTATATTTGTTCAATTAAGTTAAGACATTAAGTAAAGTTAACTAAACATTTTTCATTAGAACAACTGTTAGATTTTACAGTGATAAACACCACAAATATCATAGAAAAATGCAGCACCTGCCAACAATGCAGGGTTTTGTTCACAGATACTGAATATACATTCAGAAGGTGTTTGATTGCACATCTTGACGTTTATTGTTGAGCCCACATACATCTGTCAGATCTGTCTTCAGACACTGATGCATTGTGTCACTGCGTGGCCAATTACCAATTTCTTCAATATTACTGGTGTCAGGGTGATTTTTAGTTGCATGAAGTCAGTTATCTAGCAGAATAACTGGTTCAGTTTGGGATGAAATGTAAGCCTTTATTCACTTTATAATCAAATCAAAACATTTATCAATGCATGCAAACAAAGACTAGAGGCTTAGATTTTTATCCGTTCCTGTCACATCTCAGAAAACGTATATATGTCCTCTTTGGAGCTTGAAAGTTTTGGGGTCCGATTGACTTTTATTATGTATTTGTCAGGGTTCTGCTGCCCTGGCAGCCTTGTCTGTGTTGTTGTGGTTTCATGTTTCTGTTTGTCTTGTGTTTGAGCACATGGCTCTGTCTTGGTCTGTGTTTGCCATGTACTCTCATGTCATGTAGCCTAATGTTGTTTAGTCCATGTCTTGTCCTCATTTCACTAATTGTGCTCATCTGATCCTCATGTGCTCTGGGGCCTCATTTATAACTGTTGCGTACCCACAAAACAGGCCCTGAAAGAGGCATACGCCACTTCCGACGAATAAGTTGTGATTTATAAAAACAAACTTGATGGGAAATTTGCGCACCTGCACGCAAACTCTGACCCATGCGTTCGAACATTTTGGAGACGGAGCAGTTTGGCGAGTTAAATGTCTTTTTGGTCACTTTTAGACAGAAAATTTAAAGAGAATGACATATACAGAAAGATTATAAAAATATAGCCTATCACTTTGAAGCAATGTCCATCCCTTCTTAAATGTCCGCGCCAGTGACACTTAGTAAAACTGACGCATATCTTACACACAGTTTTATAAATGAGACCCCTGGTTCCTTTATATTGTGCCTCTTCCCCTCATGTCTTTGCTGGTTCGGTTTGTGTATGTACTTTGTGGTGTTTCTGGGTTGTGATTTTGAAATGATCCTAGTGCTTACGCTGGTTTGTTATCCTATTCCCAGTGTCAGATTATCCTTGTTGCTATTTTGTTTTGCTTAGCTTTTGCTCTTGCGCTTTATAATCTAGTTAGAGTTCTCTTTTTGTTTTAGAATTTTATTTCTAGTTATTTTCTTTAGTTCTTATTTTCCCTGTCAAGTGGAAGTCTTGCTTCTCTTTAGCTACTCCAGGTTTTTTATCTTGGTTGTTTTCATTAGTTTGCTTTTTATATGTATTTCTCTACTTTTTGTTTCTCTAGTCATTGATCTTATCAGTTTAGGTTTGGTTATCTTTATTGTTGCTATATCTTGTCTGTCTTGTCTTGAGTCTCGTCTTGCATGTTCTTCTGTGTGTTCCTGCCCTGTATCCCGAGTTCCCTCAGCCTGACTGGTGCAGCTATCTAGCTCCTGTGTCGAGCCTCTGGTTCTGTGAGCCTCTACCTGGCAAGACTGGTGCTACATCTGAGATCTCCATCAAGCTATACATGTTCCTTGTGTTCCTGCCTTTTCTTTCCTTCAGAGCTGCATCTATTGCAAAAACCCTTGCCTGATCATTTGCTACTGGGTCCTATCTCTTGCAGAACTGTGACAATTGACAAGCATTGTAATATTTTTCAAAATATCTTCTTTTGTGTTCCACAAGAGAAAGAATGGCGTACAGGTTTGGAACAACATAAGGGTGATGACAGAATTTTTCTATTTGGGTGAACTTTAGAATAATTATACCAAGATTCTCCAAAAGGAGACATGAACTAACTTTTGGAATTTGCATTAAAAATGATCCCAGACCTAAAAGCTTCACAGCTTATTGGGGGACAGAAAGTCATTTATGAAAGACTTTCCTCCTCTACAGACAAAATATCTCTTTTAACTCCTTTATTATAATTTAGTCTATGGGGATTTGGTCATCCAGTCTTTCTGAGACTTTTCAAATGACCAAACATAAACGTAAAAAATCATAAAGAACATTGTAATTTACACCTTATTCTGAGTTAAAGCTGAAGGAAGTGGGAAAGGACAAATGCTTTCGTGTGTGTGTGTGGCTTCTTTATAATTGGACATTTGCATGGAAATCTTCTTTTGAGTTAGAAGAAGAAAGAACTCGTGCAGGTTTGGAACGGCGTGATGGTGAGTAACTATCCCTTCACCACACATACAGCAACAACCTCTATTCTCTGCGTCATTTTTTAAATATTTTAGTTTGTCATTCTCCAAAACAGCCATTTCTGAGATGTATATGAAGAGAGATAAACAAGTAACACAAATGTTGTGTGTTGTTAAAAAAATCTTGAGGATACAGGTGATTTTCCACAAAAAACAAAATGTTATTAAATATTGTTAATATACCAACCTATTTGATCTTTTAAAATGTGTTATTGTAAAATGTACTGATAATAACACACGTCGTAGGGGAAGTACACAGGATGAGTTAAAATTTGCCTAAAGTAACTTCTCCAGCAACAGTGCAGTGTTAAATACCATAGAGGTAATACAAATGACAAAATAATGCAGTAAACTTTAACTAAACAACATAATGTGCAACATAAACACTTCAATGTACATAACTGATAACAATAATAAGAGAAACTAACTAGGAGTTAGCTTTTCTTTTTTTACTTAGGCCTATAGGTTTTTAAACTTAATTTTAACAAACAATAGGCTATCTCTGTATTTTGCAAGATTTCTTATTCTGGGTTATTGCGCCCTCTAGTGGACAAAACCCAAACAACTATCAACACAGACGCCTCAAAAACTATATGCGATGGTCACTTCGAGGAAGTAATTTAATCATTCATTTATATTCATTTTAAAGTTGTTTTATTTTGTTCGTGATATATTTCACACATTGTTGTTATAGCCTATACGTTTCCTACGCACTTTTTAATCCAAGAAGTGAACATTTATTTTAGCATTTGCATAGCTTAGTTAACAACTGTGACGCGTAAAATTATATGAAAATCCTTATCAAAAAGAAGTGGGGGAAACCCGCAGAAACCCAGTACACCCCGTGGGGCTGTTTCTAAACCGGGTTTAGTTTAACTGAGTCGGACGTCATTACGTATCGAACTTTGAACGGGTTAACATTCGCTTTCCCTACATCACTTCCGCGCATACTTTACGGTTTATGAGCCAGTTTCATTGACGTTAGTCCCATTCAGGCGGGAGATTTGGAAACAACTATTTCTATTTCTGACCTGCTCGTATTAAGTACAGAAATATCCTTCCGACAGCTCGTCATCGACAGGTACGTAAGAGTCAAATATGCAAATGTTGCGTTTAATGCCAGCAAAAATCTGTACAAAACATTTCCAGCCTCAGTTAGAGGAGTGTGAGACATTGCTTAGTAATTATGTATTTGACACAGAACTGAATCTGTTGTGTTGTATTATTCTGCATGATATTCCAAAGTTGCTAAACGTACTTTATGTCGCCCTGTAAATCTGTGAATTAACAGGAGACCGCGGCCAAATGGACCCGTTAGACTTTATAACGAATGAAGAGTTGCTGCTGTTTCTCCACCGCAAGAAGACGGAGATTTCCTGCATAGAGCAACCGCACGCACTATTCACTCAGCTGCGAGACCACGACCTGATGACGGAGGAACTCTTTCAGGCAGGAACACGCACACCTCCTACATACCCTCTTTCTCTAACTTAACCACCCATGCATGACAGGATCTGTCTAGTAGTATCTCTTTTATAGTCATTCATGTTATGGTTTGATGGACATGATAATTTTTGGTTATGTACCATGGCAATACGATGCTTTTTGGATATGGTGCAATAATAGTTCTGTTTCAGGACATTCAGCCACAGTAATACTATGTTTTAAAGGCATGTATGTAATATGGTAAACCCATGTTTTTGTCATTATATACCATTAATAATACTATGTTTTTGGACATGTACAATAGCAGTACCATCTTTTTGACCTCTACCATAAAATACCCTTGCAAAAAACTGTGACCGTATTCATACAATAATAAACACATGTCAAACATAGTATGGTAGCATACTGTGTCCAAAAACAACAACAACAAACTTGTTATTACCATGGCACTCTTTTTTTAAGAAATTGATGCATTTATTCAGGAAAGAGGATTGATCGAATGATCAAAAGTGACAGTAAAGACATTTATAATGTTGCAAAAAAAGAATTCAGATGGAAAAATCCTGGAAAAAATGTATCATTGATTCTCATCGTCAACATTGATAATAATATTATAAAATGTTTCTTGAGCATCACACATCAGCATATTAGAATGATTTCTGAAGGATCATGCGACTGAAGACTGGAGTAATGATGCTGAAAATTGAGCTTTACATCACAAAATATAGTCAAATAGAAAACTGAATTGAAATGATATCTCACAACTTTACTGTTTTTATTGTATTTTTGTTCAAATAAATGCAGCCTAAGAGACTGCATTTAAAATGAGCATTTATAAGAGACTTCTTTAAAACGTAATGTATATCAAAGTACCATGGTATTATCATGTGTTACCATCACTTTACAATAGTACATCCACTTTTAAAAGCTGGTGTGTAAAAGCACACTGCAGATTTACCTAATTCATTTCATTATTGTGCAGATATGTTATTGTAAGCGCTGTGACATACGGTCTGACCATACTTCTGTTTTCTTCAATGTCTTTCTCTGTTTTGTCTGTAGAAGGTGAAAGGGATGCGCTCTCGTGAGCAGAAGCAGACGCAGAAGCGCATCTATGAGGTTCTGGACCGGCTGGAGAAAGAGAAATCTCAGTGCATGCATCAGTTCTGGCACTGTGTGTTTAAAGATCATATCCTGCAGCTGTACCCGACGCTACGCCTGCTCAGAAACAGCCTGCTGGACGGTCAGTGCTTTTCACTGTTATCAGCTTAGAGCTTTAGACCTATACTAGGGTCATGCTGCATTATTACACTATTACAGATCGAGAATGTGTTCATATTTACAGCAGTGTTATTTTAGTATCATTAAGATTAAAGAAGATCAAAGCCCCATTTACACCTGGTATTAAAATGCGATCTGTATCCAGATAAGTTATCCGGATAATAGGTGTTCTGATCTTACCTTTGCGTTTACACCTTGTATTTTTAATGCGTTCTCGTTATCCACATTGAGTTCGGATCTCTGTCCTCCAGAGTGACACCTGCGCGTGAGCACTGAGGTGGCGGGAAATCAGCTGTAGTTTGTCAACATGGCAGGTGTAGGATCGTTAGAGATGCTATTACTGTACCGCCTGTTTCTACTTTTTCTCTGTCGCGGTAGGGATCATTTTCAACGTTTTTCTATTAGGAGCAAACAGAAAAGACGACAGGCCCTGTTTGCAGCTGTTGTTTTTACGGCTACTTTGAATGCTACGACAGTGAACCGGTCTCTGTGGATGTTTAGCTTAACGTTACTTCTGAGGGGTGTGGTTTTCGTGGGCAGAGGATGACGTTTGGCAGGTACGAATGCCATCACGTCGTACGGATTGCGTTTTACCTAGTAAAGATCCGAACACAATGCGAGCCAGACTACCTCCAGATGTGGTCAGGCAGATCCGATCACAACGTATTTACACCTTGCATTAACATGCGTTTTTTATTATCCGGATAACTTATCTGGATACAGATCGCATTTTAATACCAGGTGTAAATGGGGTCCAAGAGTATCAGTTTTAGTATCTTTTTATTCTCAGGCACCTTCAAATTCTATGAGAATGCTACGGATGTTGAGACGCAGGTGGAGAAGAGTGAAGGAAAGGGGGAGAAAGGAAAGGAGAAGAAACGCACTCGAAAGAAAAATAAAGATGATAGAAATAGCGAGGATAGCGATGGTCCGGGTCCTTCCTCTGTTTCCACACCCACTAAGAAGAAGAAGAAACCCTCATTCTGTGAGTCCCTGAACTACAGCAGGTCCAAGTTCGCTGGTGTCTTATGCCTGTATGATATGTGTCTCCTTCCGTTCTCTCCCTTTCTCAGCAACTCCTGTGAAGAAAGGAGAAATACTGGAGATTTGGAAGTTTCCTTTATATAAAACTCAGCTGCCTGTAAACTGTGGGGATAAAGAGGGCACTCTTTATCGGGAAAAACTGCCTAAAGGTTCATCATCTTTACATTTTTTGCTATAATTCATTACAGGATGTATTTATCATACTGTTTATGGGTTTAAATGCATGCAATCTTTCTCTCCTGTAGGGGAGAAGTGCATTTTGTCCAATAAACAATGGTTCACCCCATCTGGTTTTGAGAAGTTTGCCGGGAAGGAAAGGTCCAAGAACTGGAAAATCAGCATCCGCTGCAGAAACACAACGCTTAAGAAACTCATAGAGGTAAATAATGCAGGCACTTGCAGATAGTAAAATAGTTACAGATTATAGGGATCTTTATATTTGCTGGAAACACATTGTCCGCTGCAGAAGTACTTTTTCAGTTATATATTAGACTATTTATTTATCGAAACAATAAAGGTTATGTAATATTGAGCTATAGATTAGGCCTGTAATATAATATTGGCAAATTTTTAGTCAGTTGTAATTTAAAAATAGCTTACAGTTAGCTAGAAATAAAAATGTATTTAATTGTCTAAACCATTAACATTGGCAATTTCGCATTCATTTACGCTTTACGCTTCACACGCTTCTTCATAATAAGTTGTTATATATAAGTCAATAAAAGTTGTTGTATGGGAAACACACCCCAGGTCATTTAAAAAGTCTGATTTAAGCCAATAAATAATGGCAAAATGATCATGGGACCCCACATTATTTCTAGTTTGTCTACCTGTTGTTACAAACAAGTACATTTTTATTAGCATTTCTTTATTCTTTTATTCTACATCATACTAAATGTATATATATTGCATTGATATAATTTAATACATAAATAATTATCAGTTGTTATATTAATGATATTATTAAGTTAAGTGTACATGCCAGGGACCAGTATGTGGTGCTGTAATTCTGCCACAGAGATACACTAAAAACAGAGAAGAAGACTTGGAGCATGCGCATAAACCTTTGCGCGCTGTATACAATAATATTAGGCTCAAGAACCAAGAACTTTACTGAACAATAGGTTGAACCTGGTACAAAATATGAAATGTCTTAATCAGACAACAGACAAGCATCATAGCATAAGAAAGAAGTAAAAAAGGCTCAGTAGCTTCTGCAGCACGAACACAAGCATGTGGTACGCAGTTGTTGTTGCTGTTACGTGACGTAGCGGTGTCTGACTAGGGTCGACACGTGGGGTGATGACATCATCGTTTCACAAAATATACAAATTGGCTTTACACACGAAAAACGCAGATTTTTCCACTCTTGGACCCGGTATCAAAAAAATAGCGGTTTCAGGCTCCCAAAACGCCGGATCCGTCTGGGCGAAACGCCGATATGATACAAGTTGTTTACGTATACAGCTAAATGCTTCTCCGTGTGGACAAGGCCTTAGTGTGAGGGGAAATGCACCTTTTGCACCTAAAGCAAAGCAACAGGAGAACAGCACATATTTTAGTATCGATCATCTAAGATTAAAACATATGAGGTAAATAAGTTGCTACATAAAATACAGCAGACTCCTCAGATACATGTGTGATCTGACATCACTTCCCTTCTCATTCTTTCAGGAGAAGCATCTTCAGTCTCCACCGCTGGAGAGAAAGAGGAAATGTGCCCCAAAAGTACTTTGTCTATCCGTACAATGTCAGGCTTTGTTTTTCCTATTTTTCCTTTGAAATGCATTAAGTTGACTCTGTTCCTTCCTGCAGAACTTGAAGGAGCTGTCTCCTGAGAGCTCAGCCGAGAGCTCCAGCACAGGTGAGCACCGATCGTTCACACTCATTCACACACGCTCTCTGCTGTCTGTCTTAATGCAGCCGTGTGTTTTATTCCTCAACACTCAGAAACCAGCGCCATTTCGGTTGAGGAAAGCGATGATGAAGATTTCCAGGAACAGAGAGAGAGAGGAGAAGGAACAGAGTTTAGAAGGAGGGTTGAGGATGAGGAGGAGGAGGAAGAAGAAGAGATGACAGATCTGTCTGTTTTCCAAGCTCCCTCTTTACCAGTCACCCGCGTTTTACTTACTGGGACTCTATACAAAGCCCGGTTTGCATCAGGTACGTTACTGCACTGAAGTGTGTACTGCTGCAGTCGTGTGCAGAACTCAGTATGCAGTTTGTTTTGTCTGTATCGAAAGTTTGAGTGGAAAGTGTTTGTTTACTTTATGTTGCAGGGAGTCGAGGGAAGTGTATACGGACTGAGGAAAGCTGGTTCACTCCGGAGGAATTTGTAAAGGAGGAACCAACTCTCACTGATGGACACTGGAAAAAAGATATACTGTGCCATGGGAAAACTCTCAACTTTTTACTCAAGGTATCAAACTGGATAGAACATGATACAAAAGAGAAAAAACATGATTATTTATTTATGGATTTGTTTATTTATTACTGTCATTTTTAGAAAGAGATCCTGCGCATCCATTCTCTTCTGTGCGAATGTGTGGAATGCAGTGATCAACCAGAAGACCTAGTAAGAAACATCTCCAGCTGACATGTCTGTCATTCATAATCAGTCATGATAAAAAGAATTAATGACATTCACTTGAATTCTTAATAGCATGTTTAAGTCGTGCGTTAATCACACAAGGCAGTAATTAAAATCCCTTTCATAAACTAAAGATAGCGTGAATCTTATGAAAAGTCAAAATAATTTATTTTATTTTATGAATTTTCTGCTTAAAGAAAATGACACTTATTTGTATTACCCTTACTTACCCTTTTTTGCATTGTGATGTTAGTTTCATGACAATTTAGCAAATTAAGCCATTCTTGTTACTGTAAAACTATAGAAATCCCTATTATTGCTATTATAATCTATTGGTATTCATGTAAGTATTAATGGATTATGGTAATATTTTTAGCACTTTGATTGCTGATTAAAAAAACTTGAATGCAGTAGAAAAAACACTGTATTACAGTATGAGAATCTAAAACCTATTGAGAATTACAGAACCACCCCACCCACAAACAAACAAATAAACTAACATTAGCTTAGTTTTCTTTATCCAAAATGAAATGTCTTTTTTCCTTTCACTTTTGGGATAAAAAAGAGACATCAGCAAATTGCATTGGAGCAAAATGCCTTTGAGCTTATTTCTGTGACAATGATAACATGTTATATCATGTTGTGTTGTCCTGTGACTAGATGGCACAGAAAAATGATGATGAGTGTTACACATGTCACACTGGGGGAGATCTTGTGTGTTGTGACGAATGTCCACGAGCTTTTCATTCACACTGTCACCTACCAGCTGTAGATGGAGACTCACCTGGGTGAGACACAGAAAAACAACAAACAAAATCATTAAATCAGCAAGTATGTGTGTTGTACATTCATCCTTCTGTATATGTGTGTGTGTGTGTGTGTGTGTTTGCTTGTAGGGAATGGATTTGTACCTTTTGCGTGTTTACAACCAGTCAGCAATGGCGTGACTCCAGTAGCATGACTGAACAAGAAGCTTTAAACGCCCCTGTGTCACAATACAGATTGGTAAACACACACACAAACTTTGCACTTTAATTTAAAGGATAACCACAAAAATGTAAGATGTCTACATAGGCTGCTCTCTAGGTTTAGAAACAGAACAATAATTGATGGACTTAATGTTGTGTGTGTGTGTGTGTGTGTGTGTGTTGTTTGTCTTCTTTAGCACTGCCACTATCTCTTGTTACATATGTACAAGGAGGACACCCAGAAGGTGTTTGTAAAAAATCCATATCAAACAGTAAGATGTCTCCTTATTCAACCTGCGCTCTTTTACAACCACTTAAAAAAAAACACTTTTTTCTCATGCCTTTAAAATTAAAATTAATTTAATGTATTTAGAATTTGATTAGAAATAGAATAATAGGGAATTCATGTTGGTGAACTTTACATTAAGAAAAATAAATTAACTAGAATTGTTTTAACTTCCAGGTGTCCAGATACTCTCAGTTCATATCTCAGCCAATGTGGCTAGACAAAATAAAGCAAGATATGGAAAGTGACAAGTATCAGACGGTTGGAGCGTTCGTCTCGGACTTTCAGCTCATTTTCAGGAATTGCAGCACATTTAATAGAGTAAGATTCCCTGAAACACTGAAACAATTACGACATAATTAATAAAGACCAAAAAAAAAAAAAAATAGATCAAACGCTCATTAAAATGTAGTTGTTTTGCAATGTCTTATATATGGATGTATATCTTGGACATGATTGATGATTTTTGTGATTAACATTATAATTAATCAAAAAAGAGAGGACACTTGTTTTTTGTGTGTGTGTGTTTTGTTTTTCACTGTTTTGACATTTGTTTTGTATTTTGTTCTCTTTTGCTCTTTAAAGGACAATGAGTTTGGGCAAATGGGCGCCAGGCTGAAGGAAATGTTTGAGAAGGAGTTTCAGAAAATCTTCAATATCCAATAACACCTCAAGCCCACCCCCCCACCCAACCAAAGATACAATGGAGATCTGTGCAGCTTTGAATATGCATTAGATTTCATCATAAAGTATGTAAGATGGATAATATTTCTTATCCTGCAGCTGTACATAGGAGGCTTGGAGAATGCATGGATGGAATATTTCATATATGACACAGTTGCTGTACAATAATGCACCTTTTTTTTTTCTATAATGCCATCATTTTATTGCAGGTATTATGTTGTTCTCAGCATGGGTTACGAATGGCAATTTGATTATGTCTGTACAGAAGATCTGCTACTATCTGCTTTTTCTCTTCCTCCTTATACAGACCTTATTCACAGTTGGTGTCCATGTACTGTACCTTAGGGTGAAGTGTGCCAATACTGTAATTCAAAAATAATGATCAGCAGGTTTCAATTTTATATACTGTACTGTGCAAAAGTCTTTGGCAAGGAGTCTGACAACAGCCGATATAATCTGATCTCACCATCATCAAGTCTGGTGATTCTGTAGATTTGAAAATCATGCTTTTCCCCATTATTGTTGAATCACGGAGGCTACACCAGTTACTTTGCCAAGAGATCTCGTATTTTATTATTTTTATACATGTATCAGAGAGAGAGAAACAGGCATAGCAGAATAAGGCTACAGGTGAGGAGGTCTCCATTCCAGATTTCTCTGTTCCCCATTTCTCTATCCCCTCACCCCTTTATGCCAGCTGTAAATGGTTTCTCTGGGTTTCTCCTCCCTCACCCCTTCATCTCTATGTTTCTCCTTCCTCTCACCCCCTGGTAGGATTGAGCATATACACCACTCTGGAACTTACAACTTCCTTGTAAGGTAGCAAAACATGTTGCTTTTGTTTATAATGGAATGTATACCTAATGCTTACACATGATACAATCCACTTTCCATATTAAGAAACTATTTTTCAGTGTATACATTTGTCATTTGTGGTACATTTGCATCAGTTGAAAAACATTCCTTTCCTTGTGAAGAACATGCCAAATTGTACACATTTAATGTATCATTGGAACATCTCTGCTCAGTAAACGTTACATTGCACACAAACTTGTATGCAAAATACAGTATATAACTCTCCCAGCTCCCTTCCTGTGTGTCTGCTCAGCACATGTACAACATACTCTGACTTCACAAAATACATTATGAAAATGAATAAAGAAAAATAGTACTAAAAAATAACATTAAACAGTACATTTTTAGTCTTCAATTACATAAAGAAACAGAAAAATATAAATCCAGAATGCCATGTGGCAACGTCTCCAAGACACTTGAAGAAACCTTCCTGCAGAGATACAGTACTGTGAGATGTTTTAGGCACTAGTGTAAAAATGTTGTAAAGTGAGAATGCTTTCAAATATAATATCATAAATAGACTTTATCATTTAACTTCTATTAACTAAATCAAATCAATATTTGGTGAGACCACTCTTTGTGTTTAAAACAGATTTTGTCCAGGTAAACTTGCTCATAGTTTTCAGGGAGCTTTGCAGGAAGGTTTCTTCAAGCGTCTTGGGAGACGTTGCCGCAGTTCTTCTGGATTAATTGTTTTTTTCATGAAATCCCAGATGGATTTGATGATGGTGAGATCAGATCTGTGTGGATCATACCGACTGTTGTCAGACTCTTTGTGCATAGAAAAATCTCACTGGATTATTAGAATTAATGGCAAAAGAAAAAAAATGTTTGGAAATGTAAACTGATATTTCCTACTGACACACTGAAGCAAAAGAAATAAATAACTGGCTTAAAACCATTTTTTTGGTGAAAAAAACGAAAGTGCCTAACGTGCCTTTTGCACAGTATGTAATTTTATTATTTTACCATTTGTTTTTATAAATAAACTATTATCTTTATTTAAAAAGTTGGAGAATATTTTTTTTGTTTAGAAAGCCTTAAATTCTTACTTTAAATGAGTTAATGTAAAAACGTTGTCATGGCTTATTGATCATATATACATTTTTTAGTGTTAGGGTAAGATTCACTGAAACAGAACATACCGTAATTAATAAAACACCACATAAAAAAAAAAAAAAGATCAAACGCTGTCCACAGATTTACTGATGACACTGATTTACTCATCATGACAGGCCTGGTCTGATAAGTAAACTCATCAAAATGTTATGTATAGGTTTCGCTATAAACCCTTTTACTGGGTCTGATACCTAAAAAAAAATATTGTCTGGTGAAATAGAAAGATGGCTTTCATTAAATATTACATTATACATTATATAAATTCAGTGCAGGGTAGTGATTACATGTGATCTGGATTAAGAAACCAGATTACAAAACTTTAGTACTTCTAATTAGATTATATTACTTTTTGAAATGCACATAATCAGATTACAGTTACTTTTTATGGATTACATTATTACATATTATTCGCACAATAGCGGTAAATTATTCATAATTTATTGATTTTGATATATGCTGCTCTGTGTAGGCCTACAATGCGACCGAGCTCGAGTGCCGGCTTCTCAAGCCAACATCCAAAAAACAAAAAGAAAGGTTTAATTTTTCCTTTCTAAGAGATCCTTTTGGGTGTCATACCATTTCTACGGAAACGTCCACTTTTGGTATAGCAAGACGTCTTAAAATGTATTTCTTTTTCTAACATTTAAACTTACACCACATTATTAGATTACCCTTTGACTTTATGAATATGCATAAATGACAGCTTAATGATTTTTTATATTTTTTGTGCATTTATTTAAAGATCGCATGTACCATTTTTTTTTGTCACTGGTGTTACCTTACTTCTTTGGCAATATTAAATGTTTTTATAAATTATTATTTCAAAATTTGTTCAGCACATGTAGTCAGAGTTACCAAACAATAATAATAATGCAACAAATAAGGAGATTGTTTTATTTATTTAAATCAGGTTTGTTAAAAGTGTGCTTGAATGAGGTTAGTTCATTTGTGCAACCTTGTATTTGCTATAACAATGAAAATATTTGAAAACCAGTTAAAATCGAGTAATGATGCAATCCTTTAAATCTTAACTTTTGAGTGTAGCAGAATTAAATGGATGTAAAATTATTATCATGTCACATATGGCATTGTATTTAATGTGACAGAAAAAAAAGATGGTAACACCAGTGACACAATGAATCACCAATGACATGCATAAGACCAAATACCATTATTCTTCAACTATAATTAAGTAGATGAGACTAAATTGTTACATTTAGCATATAATCTAAATGAATAGCTTTGAGTAAAGTTTATCTACAAATGGGAGTCACTGGTGTTACCCATAAGAAAGGTGACACCAGTGACAGTAACACCAGTGACAATTTTCATGAAAAAGAAGAGAGGGGGAGAGACTGACCGCCCATCATCTTCAGTCATACACGCCCCCTTCCCCGACCCTTCCGTGCTTCTCCTGATCTCCTCCCAGGCTCCTACTCCCAGAGTCCCAGCCTACTAGATCCTTTCTCGTGCAGGAGTCAGAGTACCCCGCAGCTGAGGAGTTTCAGGTAAATATCAAGGTAATGCTAGTTGCTAGTATTAATGATGATTAAGTTACTATTCAAATTTGTGTTTTGTTGAAAACCGTAGGGCGTTTTCCAAGTTGCAACTTGACGATAATGTTATCTTGTTAAATGCTTAAAAAATGCTTGCTAATCTCTTCTACTTTTAGTATTGTTTGTAGCTATTTTTTATTTTTTATCAAAATGCAGAGACGCACAGAGCACAAATATGATCTACTTGTAAGTGAATATTTTATTGTAGCTTTTCCTAAAACAAACAGTCCAATGTGCAAGTTTCTGTTCTGTTTGTTAGTGGTCGTTCACACATTATTTTATCATTCCTCAGGGCTGCTTTTCCGTCGTTGTTCCATGTGCACGTGCTAGAGCTAGACGTTGTCGTGTTTTGCAGCGTCTCGCTCATGTGTTCTGAAATCGCGCTGCTCAAGTTAAAAGTTGTTCTACTTTCTTTTTAAAAACGCGCGAGATAACTTCCAAGTTAGTGTGACCAGACATTTCCGGTGTTTAGTGCATTGCCCTGTACCCGACTGGAACTATGCCTGCAAAAAGCTAGATCAGAAGCTTTGGTTCCCAGATCAATCGTAAACCGTAGTAATTATTTTACCTAACAGAGGGGGCAGCAGTTCAAACTAATTACCTGGTTCGTCATCCACAAAAAACTTAAAGGGATAGTTCACCCAAAAATGAAAATTCTGTCATAATAAATTATGACCCTCACCCTCAAGTTGTTCCAAACCTGTATGAGTTACTTTCTTCTGTTGAACGTAAAATACCGGTATGGTATTTTGATGAATCAACGTCCATTGATTTTATATCAGGGTAATGTTAAAGTTGCCTAACCCATCACACAAACATATGCAAAACACTAAGATTTAAATAAAAACGTGTTTTGGCCGATTTGGCCTTTTAAACTAGCCAGGGCCAGTAAATAAAGACACACACACACACAAACAAACATGTTTTTTTTTTGTGTGTGTTGGTTCCAACAGTCTAGAAAATGTGAATATACAAGATGGCGTAATTTCTAGACCTCGAAAAGCCACGGTTTTGAATCTTAAATTGGGCATTTATTACGGCAACCTCTAAAATATTTTGTTGAATAGAAATTGTGAGTTTTTTCCCCATTTAATCCTTGTACTTATTTCCTATCTCAAACTACTGGAAAAGTCATGTAAATGTCTTGATTATAAAGAGTGGGTCCCTGAAGAATATTCAGCTGTTAAAACTTCTGCAGTCCTGTGAATTATTTCATTTGTAATTATAATTATTTTCAGTTGCCTACTTATATTATTCCATGCAAACCTTTTAGGCCAGGTCAATGTTTTTTATGTGTTTTACTGGTAAATATGGCTTTTCCTTTAATTATGCCCAAAGATAAATGTTTATTATGATTGAATGTTTTTGATGAAAGACATCTGTATATATCGCTCATAAAAAATTAAATGTGCTTGTGTTTGCCTAAACTGAATCCAAATTATTATATTTATATATTATCAAAGTTACATTCTGACAACACAAAGAGCCCTTAAATTTTACAACCAACTGTGAATATCCACGACTAAATGATGGCTATGTTTTAGAGACCCACATGACATGAATGTATGGATCGGGGCAGCGCTTCAGAATCTCACTGGCTGAGCGAGATGGAAAAAAGTAAAGGAAGACAAAGGGAAAAAAGAAAGATGAATCAAAAAAATGGTAACAAGAAGAAAAGAGCCAGAAGTAACACATCCAGGCTTCCAGGTAAGAAAAAACCAATGATATCTAGAATACATATTTTCAACTTTGAATAAAAACAAATGAAATTGAGGTTCATTCACAGATCCAGTCAAGTGAACTAAATATGACATAACATTTGCCTCTCATAGACCTGAAGAAGATGAATGTTCCATCAGTTACGAAGCAGACTAAGCCAGAATGTGAAGTGAAGGAAAACTGCTCAGAAACAGGTTTTAGTAAAGATGAGAGAATAAAGAGAATGAAAAGATACTCAAACATCTTTGCTCAAAACACAGATGTTTTTCAAGAGGTCAGAGATAAGAAACAACTAGTTGTTCGTTGTGGAAAAATGTCAGGTTCTCTTCACAGAATAAAGTATGACACTGGTAAGTTTTGTGGAGATTTGTTTTTTACATTGTGTGAGAAAATTAAATTGCATGTTTAGTTTTTAAAGTCAAATTGATGTCAAAACAAACTTTTGTCTGTTAAAAGTGAATAGACCTTTTTTTTTTTTATATATATATATATATGTACCTGAACGCTAGTCTACTGTGATTTCAAATGTTTTAACAAACCTACATGTATTATTTCAGTAGCACTTTATTTTACAGTCCTGTTCCGCATGTACATACTATCTGCACCCATTTATATGTTCTGTATCATGTTTCTCTGTCTTAAGGAGAGAAGTGTATTTCATGTAAAGGGAAGTGGTATAGTCCCAGTCAGTTTGAGGCGATTGGAGGGAAGGGGAGTCACAAGAGGTGGAGGTTTAACATCTATTACAGGCCATCAAAAGGCTTTCAACAAGTGCAACTACTGAAACTCATAAAGGTATGTGTGTATGTATGCAGTCTGGATGTTTGGCTGGCATATGAGTAATTTACGGGTGGGACATGTCCAACTCGCTACATGGATATACCTAATGCAAAGGAAACCTATCCAGTTGACGTTCAAATATGTTAAATAAGAGGCGATCTGGCGCTTGTGGTGTTTTTGAAATCATGCTGAGTGTTTGTTGGCAGTGTTATCACGCAGTCAGTGTAGTGGCGGAATGTTCTCTTTTGGCTCATGCACAGTCTTCACACAGACAAGTGCACCAATCTATATCTCAATGCCGTTGCGGAGACTCTATTCTTTTCAGGGAAATTACAAAACAAACTGCACACGAACTCGTCCCTGCTCTTGATATACAATCACAGATGAACATCTTTGATTTTAATGAGGGGGAAAACTATACAAGGGCGGATTAGAACTCAGAACCTCTGACACAAACACAAGTTCTACTACCATACCTTAGGGAATCCGGTATGCTAATTGTAGATCTATGTTTTTATTCACTAACGTGAAGAATCTCGGGACTAACAGTATATTGCATTATACATATAGTAGATGTAAGAATGAAACTATCACATTAAACATGAGTTCTCAATGTACTATAGAAATTGATTTCTGGACATCATAATGTTATTTTTTCCTGCAATTGTTATTATACATGTTCGATATAGCACCCCCACCCCCCACCCCACCTCCACACACACTCCTGTCCCACCTACGATGTTTTAATTTTGTTACATTTTATGAACCTATTTGAACCTCATTTTACTGGTCCTCATCTGATTTAAATGAACTCTTCTGTTTTTCTTAGAGCGGGGTTCTTCCAGAGTTCGGACACCTGAGGGAGTCCTTTAGACGGGTATATATATTGTAACAAAACAAAAGTAATAAGTCCATTAGCCATTAAACAAACCATATTCATATTATTTTGTAGTTCAAACTGACAACATTACAGATTTGTAATCTGTGAATTTTATATATATATTTTTTTACCTTGTTTGCCTTATAGATTTCATAACAAAAATTATGACCCATTGAGGTATGGCATGCTTTATTATCACTACCATTTTATTTGACCATAGGTGACGCAGAAAGACAAAAGCCGTGCAAAATCTGTGCAAAATATGACAAGGAAAAATGAATTGATAAATGCCTTAAAAGGTTTTCCAGAGTCCTGGAAAAGATTGTTTGCCAAGACTGTTTCAATACCTGTGTGTGGAATTAAAAAGAACACACTGCAGAGGAAAACAATCCAGCCGGGTGAGTTTGAATAAGTATCTGTACATTTCTTGTCTTTTAAAACCCACTTATGGTAGCAAAATATATGGGAGAGCATTGCTATAATGTGACTATATCAGATTAGGTGTCAGGTCGGAGTTAATTTTTTAGGTGGAACCAAACTATAAAGTTATAAATATGGATATTTTTCTTACAAAAACACATCACTTCGCTTCAGAAGGCCTTTATTAACCCCCTGGATCCGAATGGATTACTTAAAAAAAAAAAAAACTCACTCTACTCACTCCCATTATAAAGCTTGGAAGAGCCAGGACATTTTTTTAATATAACTCTGATTGTGTTTGTCTGAAAGAAGAATGTCATATACACCTAGAATGGTTTGAGGGTGAGTAAATCATGGGCTAATTTTCATTTTTGGGTGAACTATCTCTTTAAGCCAGGCTGCCAGGAGTCTAGATTGCCAAATAGCTTTGTCAATGACTGACAGTTGTCAAGGTGTTTTTAATATTTAAAAAAATATATATATTTTTTTTTTGTGATCATCTGCATTAACTGATCCTAAAATGATTATGGGATTTGCTTGTTTTCTACCACAAACAGACATTTCTTCAGATGAATCCGAATCTGTTGCCGAAAGAGTCAAACTGGTAAGGTGTCCATTTACAGATAAATTGAAGAACAACATTATTATATTATTGTATAGGTATTACATTGTATTATATTGTAAATGAGTTTAGCATAAACATGATGATGTATCATCTAAAATATTATTAGGAGATATTTATTAATAATATTATTGTTGTTGAAGGGATGTCATAAAAGCTGCAAACTCTGCTTAAAAGCCTATAGTTGAATCAATAACTATAAAACATATATTAATTATTCTGCAAAATAAAAATAAAAGAAGCAACAATATGGCACTGAAGGAATTCAGCTCAAGTCATTTATATCCCAAATAACTAACTTGAACTTTATCCTTCACCTTAACCCTCAGTTACTGAAATGTACCCCAGCTATTGTGCCCACACATCCTCTATTAACAGACAGTCATTAAGGATTACTTAGATCTTATTCTTTCTTTTTCATAACAGAACAGGAGAGAATCTGTGATGTCAGCTGAACCCGTCAGTAAAAATACTACAGATACAGTTGGATCTACTGCCAGTGATAAGGGTTAGTGAGCTCCGCAAATTTCCTTTATATATATATATATATCATTATGAAATTTCTGATTCTTAAAATTCCCAATTGTTATTAGACTATGAAGGTCTGAGACTTTGGTTACTTTCACATCTCTTGTTTCTGCTTCTCATTAGAGTAAGAATATTAAAATATTGCCAGTGTCTATTACTGCATTTTAGAGTGCTACAATTACTGTTTTTACTTTGATGTATATTCAAATTTCAGACTTTGTTTAACCTATTTGTGCATGCTTTAAACTCATTCCTCTGGATTTATCTCGATCAGATGCTTTGTCATATTTGTTGAATGATATAAGTGATGAATATATTTAATAGTAGCTTGTGCCAATTCGTTAAGCTTTTAATAAAATGTGATCAAATGTAGCGCTGCTGGTATTAAAGAGCAGGGTGACTGATAATGAATTGTGTTTGTATTGTTACATGAATCATACTACAATGAAATGTTTTTAATTCACACTCGTTGTCCTTCCCCAAACCAAGATCCGCCTGATTCACATCCTGTTGATGCTTCAGAACCTGGAGTCTCTCCTGTCGTAGAGGAGGCCGTCCAGAGCACAGATGACCCAGCCGGAGCAGGACAGCTCAGCGTCAGCGCTTCCCCTGCTGATTGGCAGAACCCTGTTGCTTCTGAAGAGACTCGGGAAACAAGGCAGCTGCAATTATATGAACTTCTGGAAAAACAGTTTAACACCATCAACAACACCCTGCAATCAATCGATTTGTCTTTAAAGAAGCTGGTGGAAAAGCAGTCACATGACACACTGCCTCAATACATCAGTATAACACCTGCTGTTATAGAAAATCCTCAGATTCACTCCTTAGTCAAGCAGGAGTAAGTCACAGATGTTGTAAGGACTTGTTTGGGATTGGGATGGAAATGATGGGCTATGGTTTAAGATTAAACAAAAGCAGGTCAGTACTGATGAAGTAGAACTGTGGTCTGAGAGGCTGTGATTAGATATGTATACATCTTCACTAGGTAACTAATACACCAATATCTTTTTAATGTGCAAGGGCCAAGAAAATAAACATCTCTTTTGATAATCATTTACTGTTTTTGTCACATTACAACATTTGTAATGTCACATTCTTGTTGTAATGACATTATTTTCTGTCACTGCTTGAGGAAAATACGTAGGTCATAGTCTCTGAATTTTTATCTATTATTATGTCTATTCTTCACTCTGTTTCTGGCCTGTAAACCTTTTTCAAAACTTAAAGCTTTTCCAATGTTAAAATGTTGTCTTGACAACCATTGCTTTTCTAGTTCATTAGTAATATTAATTTATTTTTTATTTCATTTTTAATTCTACTAAAATTTGAATTCATTCTGCATGCTAACTCAATTCAAAAATTAGGAATTGACTTGGAATTAAAAACATCTGAACGATGCACAAGTCTTTTTCACCTTAAAGGGGTGGTATAATGTCCTTTTCACAAGATGTAAAATAAGTCTCTGATGTCCCCAGTGTGTGTATTTGAAGTTTTAGCTCAAAATACCCTGCAGATATTTTTATATAGCATGTTAAAGTTGTCACTTTTTGAAGGGGAGCAAAAACGCACCGTTTTTGTGTCTACCCCTTTAAATGCAAATGAGCTGCTGCTCCCGGCACAGAGGGACGAGTTTCAAGAGCTTGTGTGTTAGCAGCTTCGATAACCTCACGCAGACATGCACTAAAACTCGGAGCCTGCAGCTACAGTCCCCCACCCAGAGTCCCGCATTCTCAGACCCCTCGTTTTTCGAGACAGCGCCTCCTATCAAATTGGATCGGATAAACATGTGAAGAACTTAAAGGGTTAGTTCACCCAAAAATGAAAATTATGTCATTAATGACTAAAGGCCATTGCACACTGAGTCTGAAATTTTCGTATGCGTTTTTTCGTATTCGTGATTCGGAGGCTGTGAATTGTCAAAACACCATTCAAACACCATTCAAACTGCTTGCAACGGATGCGAAAAACGCAGAAAATCGAACCCGGTTCGATTTTTTTTATGACGCACGAAAGTTTCGGAGGCGGTGTGCAAGCGTGATTGACATAACGCGAGGTCGTATTTATTTTTTAACGTTCGAAAATTTCGGACGCGAATTTCGGACTCAGTGTGCAATGGCCTTCACCCTCATGTCGTTCCAAACCCGTAAGACCTCCGTTCATCTTTGGAACACAGTTTTAGATATTTTAGATTTAGTCCGAGAGTTTTCTGTCCCTCCATTGAAAATGTACACGGTATACTGTCCTTGTCCAGAAAGGAAATAAAGACATCATCAAAGTAGTCCATGTGACATCAGTGGGTTAGTTAGAATGTTTTGAAGGATCGAAAATACATTTTGGTCCAAAAATAACAAAAACTACGACTTTATTCAGCATTGAATTCTCTTCCGGTTCTGTTGTCAATCCGCGTTCAGTGACCCTGCTGACGTAAGACGCTGCTGACGTGTATCTGGTGCGCCCGAGCTTCGTTTACAGTCTCTGAGGGAGATGCACGCTGTAAACAAAACAATCTTCACAAACATGTCTAAGGATTTCGACATAGAGGAAGACTTGCATTTTTTTGCCCAGCCATATTTTTGAACCCGAATACACGAACGGACCAGATACATGTCAGCAGCGTCTTACGATTTACGTCTTACGATTGACAACAGAACCGGAAGACAATACAATGCTGAATAAAGTCGTAGTTTTTTTGTTATTTTTGGACTAAAATGTATTTTCGATGCTTCTAAACATTCTAACTAACCCACTGATGTCACATGGACTACTTTGATGATGTCTTTATTTCCTTTCTGGACAAGGACAGTATACCGTTTGGGTAAACGGTTTGGTTTCTTACAAACGTTATTAACGTGGCTATAATTCTGGATGATTATTTATTGATACACTTATTATTCATAAGTGTGCAGTCAGTGTCATAACTACATCTCTGACTTTTATAACAAACCAAACCGGTAGAAAATTTAGCAAGTTATGGTTATTTAAAAAGTACATGCACCATTAAAACACAATGTTACGAGTGAGCGAGCTGCCTGTGACAAGATGGCCGCCAGGTGCGGACGTCGACCTCCATTGGCCAGCAGCGCTGACGAGACATCTAGCCTTTATTATGTATATCTATGGGCCTGGCCACCTATTAAGTCCTATTGCACTGAATTGTGGTTGTAGTTCCACCAGAGTTCCACTGGGGGCGATCGCCCATGAGTGCAAAATCTATGGTCTATGGGGCTAGACGGCTAAATTTGTCTCTTTCACCCGATTGCCGTTGAGAAATCTCAGATTTGATTGTTGGTTTTGCTAGTTCAACATGGGTTATAAGTCGAAAGTTGAATGAACGAGTACTTTTTGGTACGAGGATGTTGAGGGGTATAGCTCCATAGACCTCCATTCATTCTGCACTCATCCTGTGAGCGCCCTCACATGGAACCAAAGTGGAACTGCAACCAGTTCAGAAGCCAGAAGTTTACTGAGAGTGGAAGTTCTCCCCATAGACAGTAAAAGAAAGGTTCTCCCCTTATTAGACATTCTCTGATGTCACTAACCCGGGAGGAATGTCGTGTAGTCCCTACCAGCCGTTTGTTGTAGTCCTTAAAAACGATTTCTTTTAAAGCAAATATCTTTCTTTGCTTTGAACTTTGAGCGTCGTAACTTTGCAGATGTTGTTTTTGCTCAAACAGCAACATTACACACTAACTAAAGTTAGAAAAGTGAAATCATAATCAACCACCCCTTTAAGTTTATTCAATTTTTTTGTTCGTAATCAGGTGGAATAGTCTCTCAGTGACACATAAGGTCAGAGCTGCTGGAAGGTGTGGTTAGGTAGAGCATGTAAAAAGAAAAGGGATTTGATAAGTGTGTACGTCATTATCTGTGTGAGAGAGAGAGAGAGAGAGAGAGAGAGAGAGAGAGAGAGAGAGAGAGAGAGAGAGAGAGAGCGCTAGAAAAACAGACAGAAAGTTGTGGACACAGCAAGGTGAGTACATTAATGGTATTGGTAGTAATTCCAATTTTAATGTTTTGAGTATTTTCTGGTCTGATGTTTTCTCTTTTCTTTTTTTTTACTTTGTCGTCTCGAATTGCAAAACAGGATTGAGTCCAGGAAGTAACTTCCAGTTGCTTCACTTTCATGAAGTAACTTTCAGTTTTGTTTCGGTGTCAATACTCGTTTTGAACATTCATTACATCTCAGTCTCATTATAATCTGTAACGTCTTAATTACTTCTTATGACTTGGGTAACTTCTGCAAACAAAACAGCCTGGAGATTTCAGTCATTCATTAAAATAATGTAAACAATATGATGGTGTCCATCAGATATGTCTAGAGTAAAAACTTAATTGGTTAACTAATTTACCATACATAGTGATTTCAATATTTACTATTAAAATAGTGTAAAATTACTTCAAGTAATTTTAAAAGCAATTTATTATGAAAATGTATATTTTGTATATAAGACAATACAGTTGTTGTATTGAAAATTGTATATGTTGAAATTAGTACATTTTCCATTGAAATTACTCATAATTTCACATTTAGGCAGCAAGTCCACATGATCATATTTAAAAGTGCAAAATGCATTTAAGAAACAAAAACTATGATTTCCATGTAAAAACTGTAATATCAATGTTTAGTGTGTTTGAGAACCACAGGTCAGGACATGGAGTCTGAGTCTGAATCAGAATCTGAATGGGATCTGGAGAGCAGCACAGACTCTCACAGTCTGAGTGAGAACGACAGAGAAAAGAAAGGAAAACGAGCGGGGGAAAGAAAGATAAGGAAACAAACTTGTAAGCAAACAGGACCATCCTCCTTATGTACACCCAACAAGAGCCAAGCCAAAGCATTTTTTTTGATGAACTGAGGAGAGATTCATTAAAAAGATTTGAGACATACAATTAACACTGCTCTGTCTCTATATGGGCAATCCGAATCTCATTCATGCCTCACATCTGTCCTTTATTTCAGACTCCAGACAGAATTTGAGACAAATAATTGAGAACAAACTTGAACTTTCCGTCACATGTGGAGATAAAGATGGCGTCCTTAATGTGGAGAAATATAATAACAGTAAGTACAGACACTTAAAGAATTTAGTTATGAGTCTCTTGTTGAAAACAAACATTATTCCGAAAGTTCAGAACACACCCAGATGCTCTAAACATAAGTCCACAAGGCATTCCAGAATAGTGGTTGAATAAACTCAACTTCTGTTTTCAGTGCAGGCGTGCATCTTCAGTGAAGGCCAGTGTTTCAAGCCCAAGGAGTTTGAGATATTTGGAGGAAAAGAAAGGAGCAAAAAGTGGAGGAACAGCATCTCTCACAATGGCACTCCACTCCAGGACCTCATTAAGGTGCATAAGAACAGCTTCATTACGAACAGTTTCAACCAATGCACACTTAAGTTCAGTTATGATTATCATTCAGTAATTGTTAATATGCCCATGGGGGTTGATTTTAATAGTGAATTATTAAATCCAAATGTTAGGGTGTCAGTTCACTGGAAACATTCTGTGTTGATTATAAGCTGAGCACATCTTCTAGCTTTGTCTTTTCTTTCTGTTCATAGGATGGTCTTCTTTCGCCCTTTAAGAAAATTCCGGTTCAGAATGAACAGGTTGGGCTGTTTTTGTACCTAACTAGTATAGAATATTTGTATTAGATATGTAAGATGTGTTTGTAGAATAGCCTGCACAATATGAATGAAACCATGATTTCAGGTCTCTGTGATTAACACTGTAGCCTATGTCTCACTTCAGCTGAACTTGCACCTACACAATTATATTAAAGGGAACCCATTGTGCCCCTTTTTACAAGATGTAATATAAGTCTCAGGTGTGTCTGTAAAGTTTCAGCTCAGAATACTCCACAGATAATTTTTTATACCATGTTGTAAATGTCCATTTTTGAGTGGAAGGAAATGTTTTTGTGGATGTATCTTTAAATGCAAATGAGCTGTTGCTCCTTACTCTGCTTTCCAGAAGAGGGTGGAGCCTACATTTTGTTCCTCGAATACTCTGCCAAAAACAAAATGTTAGTTAGTATCCGGCAGGAGCTGTAGTGAGAATATCAAAGACTTTATATTGGTAGTATACTGTACCTGCTGCTATACAGTGCATAAGTGAACACACCCATGCTAAAGTTGACTAAAAAGAGGAATAAAAAATCATCAAAGGGAAATTGATCTTGATGCCTCAATTAAAAAAATGAGGAAAAATCCAACCTTTAAGGACACCAATTTTCTTTGTGAATGAATTATGTATCGTAAATATATAAATGTTTTTCCTTAAAATACAGGGGGATATGTCAGGTCACCTATGTCATGTCTTATGTCAGGTATGTTAAATTCCCATAGAGGCAGGCATATTTTTATTTTTAAAGGCCAGTTATTTCATGGATCCAGGATACTATGCATCCTGATAAAGTCCCCTTGGCCTTTGGAATTAAAATAGCCCAACATCATCACATACCCTTCACCATACCTAGAGATTGGCATGGTTTTATTTCAGTTAGCCTAATAGCTGGTTTGATTTGCATTGAGAGACGATCTTATGGAAAGTACCCCATACCAATCTCTAGGTATGCGCCCTCTGCAGGCATTTGTTATAATACTTAATGTTCAAAAGTTATGTTTATATTTGTTTATATAATTTATTTTATATGGTGTATTATAACAGTGTTGTTCAATAAAACCCATATGATTACTTCAATGATCAGCCAGTTGATCCGAGAGGCCAAACAGAAGAAAGGCTATCTAACATTGGTCTGTTTAGATCTAGCGAATGCCTATGGATCTATCCCACATGATCTCATCCAGCTCGGACTTGACCATTACCACATCCCAAGTGCTATTCAAGAAGTGATCACCAGCTATCTAGGAGGGATCAAACTGAGATTTGGATCATCCCAGTGGACAACCAATTGGCAGGATCTCCAGAAGGGAATCCCAACAGGATGCACTATCTCCCCAATACTCTTTATCATGGGCATGAACCTTCTAATAACACCAGCAGAAGGCATAAGCCACGGCCCCGTCGTGGAGTCAGGCATCATTCAGCCGGTTCTGCGGGGTTTCATGGACGACCTAACAATAACAACTGTGATGCATGTCCAAGCAAGATGGGTACTGGAAACCCTGGACAACGTAGCCACTTGGGCAAGGCTGTCATTCAAGGCCAGGAATTCCAGAAGGCTGGTGATCAGGAAGGGCAGAGTCACAAGTAAGTTTGGACTCCAAGTTCAAGGCGAGGTCATTCCATCTCTTGAGGACAGCCCCATAAATTGTTTAGGAAAGTGGTTCAATGCATCACTGAAAGATGGTGGCAATGTTGCAGACGCTGTGAAGCAAACCGAAGAATGGTTGAAGAAGATCGACAGGTCCTGACTCCCCGGAAAATGTAAAACCCGGCTGTACCAGCACGGCCCTCTGCCAAGGCTCATTTGGCTCCTCACAGTCTATGAGTTCCCCATAACAGTTGTGGAAGGCATCGAGAGGAAAACCAACAAGCACCTGCGGAGATGGTTGGGGATCCCCCCAAGCTTCTCTTCGGTGGGCCTCTTCATCCGTTCAGGACAGCTGCAGCTCCCTCTGTCATCTGTCGTGAAGGAGTTCAAGGTGGCAAAATGCAGAGTCGCGCTTAGTCTGAGAGATTCCAAATATGTCCGGGTAAAGTAAGCAGGCATCATAACAAGATCAGGCCGTAAATGGGCAGTCAGCTCAGCCATTGAACAGGCAGAAAGCTCACTGAAGTTGCATGACATCATTGGCAATCCCTGCATAGGACGCCAATGCCTTCCAAACTGAATGTCAGAATGGGAAAGAAAGGTGATTTAAGCAATTTTGAGCGTGGCATGGTTGTTGGTGCCAGACGGGCCGGTCTGAGTATTTCACAATCTGCTCAGTTACTGGGATTTTCACGCACAACCATTTCTAGGGTTTACAAAGAATGGTGTAAAAAGGGAAAAACATCCAGTATGCGGCAGTCCTGTGGGCGAAAATGCCTTGTTGATGCTAGAGGTCAGAGGAGAATGGGCCGACTGATTCAAGCTGATAGAAGAGCAACTTTGACTGAAATAACCACTCGTTACAACCGAGGTATGCAGCAAAGCATTTGTGAAGCCACAACACGCACAACCTTGAGGCGGATGGGCTACAACAGCAGAAGACTCCACCGGGTACCACTCATCTCCACTACAAATAGGAAAAAGAGGCTACAATTTGCAAGAGCTCACCAAAATTGGACAGTTGAAGACTGGAAAAATGTTGCCTGGTCTGATGAGTCTCGATTTCTGTTGAGACATTCAGATGGTAGAGTCAGAATTTGGCGTAAACAGAATGAGAACTTGGATCCATCATGCCTTGTTACCACTGTGCAGGCTGGTGGTGGTGGTGTAATGATGTGGGGGATGTTTTCTTGGCACACTTTAGGCCCCTTAGTGCCAATTGGGCATCGTTTAAATGCCACGGCCTACCTGAGCATTGTTTCTGACCATGTCCATCCCTTTATGGCCACCATGTACCCATCCTCTGATGGCTACTTCCAGCAGGATAATGCACCATGTCACAAAGCTCGAATCATTTCAAATGGGTTTCTTGAACATGACAATGAGTTCCCTGTACTAAAATGGCCCCCACAGTCACCAGATCTCAACCCAATAGAGCATCTTTAGGATGTGGTGGAACGGGAGCTTCGTGCCCTGGATGTGCATCCCACAAATCTCCATCAACTGCAAGATGCTATCCTATCAATATGGGCCAACATTTCTAAAGAATGCTTTCAGCACCTTGTTGAATCAATGCCACGTAGAATTAAGGCAGTTCTGAAGGCGAAAGGGGGTCAAACAGTATTAGTATGGTGTTTCTAATAATCCTTTAGGTGAGTGTATATGTTGTGAAATATCATGTATATATTTTCACACTATATGTTCATGTCTGTTGCACAGAATGACTCTCCTGGATCCTCCCCAATTACTGACAGGCTCAGAAAAGGGAAGGTTAGATCCTGATATAATGACTAATTGTTGTTGATGATTAATATGTTGTGAAATATCTTGTATATATTTTCACACTATATGTTCATGTCTGTTGCACAGAATGACTCTCCTGGATCCTCCCCAATTACTGACAGGCTCAGAAAAAGGAAGGTTAGATCCTGATATAATGACTAATTGTTGTTGATGACTAATATGTTGTGAAATATCTTATATATATTTTCACACTATATGTTCATGTCTGTTGCACAGAATGACTCTCCTGGATCCTCCCCAATTACTGACAGGCTCAGAAAAAGGAAGGTTAGATCCTGATATAATGACGAATTATAAATAGTCATGTGAAAAAGAAAGTACACCCGCTTTGAAATCTATGGTTTATGTATAAAGACATAATAAAAAAATTATCGGCTTCTTAGCAGGGATTCGTTCTTCGTACATGGATTACTCAATTAGCTGGAATTCATTGTTAACGATTTAACATTATCCAGGATTGTTAGGTTCTTCGAAGCTCATCCCAGAGATGCTGTCATAGCAACGGTCCGTAATAGGTCTGCACAATTAATCGCACTGAAACCGCAAGCGATTTGGCAAAGGCTGCAATTATTTTATGCGCAGCGTGCAGTGCGGCAGATCGGTAGTAAATGATGCTCCATCTGAACACCAGAGGGCGCTCTCGTACAGACATGCCAAATATGCCCCGCCACAGAAGTAGATAACGCCTGTCATTCCAGGAAATCTCTATTGCTGTAGCTGAATAAACAGGAGATCGAAATGCTTTGATTGATTAAACATGACCAATAAACACACACCTGCCTTATTCTGTGTAAGAAGCCACATCTTCTCACAGAAGGATGGTCAACTGTCGTCATGAAGTGAGTTTTGAGTAAAAGCATGTTATTAAATGTTGTCTTTTGTTGGACAAGAGGTTATTAAATGCTTTTCATGTTTGGAAAGCTGTTTGACACGTGTTATAACAGTTTAAGTGATTCAAACTCACAGTGCTTTCAGATGGAGCAGCGTTTACCGAGCCGTACATCAATGACACCTGCGCATACAAAATAATTGCAGCCCTTGCGATTTCAAAATCGCATTAAGCCATCGCGATTTAAGTGTGATTACATGGAAATTGCGATTAATCGTGCAGCCCTAGTCCGTAAGCTCAAACATGCTCTGGAGCAGGCTTATTTTAATGTAAACAGGATTTTTCTTTTTAGCCGGAGGTGTCTCATCGCAAAATCTTTACAGTTCACTGAAGCGTTCACTCCCTAAAAAGTCCCACACTGCACCATGAAACCCAGGGAGCATCAATGCTCACTATAGCCGCGTTTCCACCAAAATTACCCGAAACTATTTGTCCCAGGAACTTTTTTCCTAGACCTGTTGCTGCTGTCAGCGTTTCCATCGCAGTCTAAAGTACTGTGAAGATTAAGCAAATTAGTCCAATGGCGTAGGACTGCATGTGACTTTCCAGTTCCTGCTGGATTTCGTCCTCCGCTTATAATCTTAATAAAGTCTAAAGTCCTCATCATCGGTCCATTAGTCGTATTTTTAAACTCCATTGTTGATTCGAATCGCAAACAACTCTTGCTGCACTCACTGCAACAGACTTTGAAAAATGGTGGTTGAAATAAAATGCTGCATGGAGTCAACCAATCAAAATGCTGCGTGAACTCAACCATCAGCATGTTCGGCACCCAAGTCCCACCCCCGAAAGTTCCTAAACTTTGAAAAAGTATTACCAGAGAATGTCTAATATGGGGAGAACTCCCACTCACATTAAACTTCCGGGTTCTGAACTGGTTGCAGTTCCACTCTAGGTCCATATGAGGGCGCTCACAGGCGGAGTGCAGAATGAATGGAGGTCTATGGAGCAATACCCCTAAAAATCCACTTTTCTCAGGATATAATTTTTTGTCTAGTAATTTGAATGTTGTATTCGAAAGAAGATGCAACAAAATTACACATTACTGGGTGTTAGATTTTTTAGAGTCACTTATTTGCTTTAAAAAGTCTTTTAAAATGTCAATGACGTCATACACATCGTACGACCAGAAACCTGCTTTACGGCAATCCTTCATTCACCGGTGCTTTCGCGCATAGACAGACGAGAGAAGCCGCGAAATTTAAAAATACTACTGTTATTGTGTCACGAAATGTAGTTTTAATAGTTTTTCAGTCGACAATGTAGTTGTTTAAAGCTCAAATCTGTTTATTTATAAAGATAGCGCCTATTTAAAAGTTTGATCTGACGTTTTCGGAGTTGTGAGGACCAGTCTTTCACCGGGTCTCAGCGCTCTGCACCCCGCCTGGAACAGCCTTTCCTCGGCTAGTGCTTCTGACGTTCGACGCCGGCTCTGATGTCTCTCTCTAGTAGTGGTTAAACATGAGATATAATTCGTCTTGTGTATATCTAACGGGCGATCTTTGGTATCATTAATCGTATCATTTGTTCCCTGGCAAATCGTTTTGGCTGAGGGCAAAGTGAAGTTTCATAACTTTATATTTTGGCTATTTTAACGTTGTATCCTGCTGTGTCTGAATGGTTTACTTTATTTATTGTCTTATATAACTTATTATACCTTTTAGGCTACTTATACTGTTATAATGTCTCTTACTGATCAATAAAACTGAAATTTAACAAAAATAGACAGGGTTGTGTCATTTTATTTTATATAGCCTATATTTTTATATAGCCTTTTCATTACTATTTTATTTGCTGTATACTGTTTGTTTATTTTATTGACTAAACTATTTACTATTACTCACTGTATCTTATATTTACTATTTGCACTGCATTGAAGTTGTATCCGTCTATGGTTGTACCCAAGGGGGTAATCCATCGACCGGAAGTTGAAGCCGGCCGGGTGCCGCCATGTTGTAGCAGAACTTCACTTGCGTTAGCATTTCCATTGACTCCCATTCATTTTTGCGTCACTTTGACAGCGAATAACTTTACATCTGAGGCGTTTAAAGACTCCATTTGTCCATTATTTATTTCTAAAGAAACACGACAATGCATAAAGGGCTCCATTACCTTCTATGTTACACTATGGCCCCGTAGAAACAGATTTAGTAAAAATAGGCTAACGATTGCGTCATAACCACTCGACTCTCTGTCGCGCTGTACAGAAGTTACCGTACAGACAGCAGGAGAAGCTCGCAGGCAATCGGGGGGACGTCCCGTCAAGGGAGAAGCCCATAGATAATGAGTCCATAAAAGCAACGGAATTCTTACTCCTGCTCACTCACGCCAAAGAACTCTTTGCTCAAGTTCCCCGTCTCTGCAAGATTAACGTTGGCAGTTTTCACGCACAGCTACTAGAAGATTAACGTCTGTCAGACAGGTTGCTCACATCATCAAGCTTAGTTTGAGTCGGTCTGAGTCTGCGCGTCAGGAACGGAAGTTCTCAAAAATCGCTAAAAGTGGGCTTCAACTGTCTCAACTGAGTTCCAATGAGATCGCTCTGTCCATTTCTTTTACTGTCTATGGTTGTACCATATCGTATATGCCACGATGCCATCAAGCGGTGTCTCTGGTCGTAATCAGTCCTTCACTGACCAATCAGCGTCCATTAGCAAAATGCTAGCGTGTTATGGGCAACAACAACTCAACCTGTAAGAAATCGAAAGGACATAAGCACTCGTTCATTCAACTTTCGACCTATAACCCATGTTGAACTTGCAGAACCTACATTCAAATCTGAGATTTCTCAATGACAATCGGGTAAAAGAGACAAATTTAGCCGTCTAGCCCCATTGACTCCCATTCATTTTGCACTCGGACGATCGCCCCCAGTGGAACTCTGGTGGAACTACAACCAAAATTCGGTACAATAGGACTTAATAGGGAGTGGCCAGGCTTTCCGTAGACGGGCTTTGGTATTACCCAAGCGGCAACCTTCCATTCTCTCTCTTGAAACCAACACGGAAGTGACTTGCAATTCATCAACTGGCCACTAGAGACAGTGAAAAAGACAGTAGGTGCGTTCCATTTGACAGGGTCCCTACGCAGTGTTCACTGCTCCCTACTCCCTGAACACGGTACATCAGTTGAAGTGGACTTCACTGACAATAATCACTCATTTGGAATGCCCTGCAACGTCATCAAAGAAAGGCAACAACAGGGTTGCGCAGATTATGAAATAAATTTTGTAATTTAATTTCCTTTCTAATTTAAAATCATATAGGCCTATACATTCATCACCCCAACCGTTCATAAATACTCTAGTTTGTATAATAATAACAATATTTATGAATACTCAATGCATACGTAAACTCAGAACCGTTAGAAATTTAAATTTAAAATCTCTTCCAACGGCTCTGCTCTATGGTTAGTTCCGACTGGTGACGCGGTGCACAATGACAGTTGGTTGATTTTTGCTCTCCACTTCCTGTGAAGTGATGTATCGATGTTCCCTTATTCCCTACGCCGTTTGCAGTGCCCTTCGAATTGAACATGTTCCTTCCCTTCGGATTGGAATCTCACTTAAGATGGCGAAATACCCTGTGAAGTCCACTTCGCAGTCCACTTACGGTCGAATGGAACGCACCTAGTCAATCTCATATACCCCACATTTACAGCAGAAAACAAAGTGTTTACAGCCTGGTGCAAAAAGTGGTTCTGGTCTATATAGTTACATGTTGCCCTTCATGACAGCTGTGAGGGGGGTGAGTTTTTTTATAACTCATCCGTTTAAATTATATTAAGCCTTTATTTCTGCATAATTAAGGGCGTGGCCAATTGAGTGACAGGTGGATTCCAGCTGCTGTCACTACTAGCCGTTTATCTGCTGTCTTTTAGCCGTCAAGTCACCTCAGCTAATCCCGCCTTTTTGCCCATTTTCGGTTATTCGAGAGTGACGCGTTACCAAGATGGCGTCGGCCAGTTCCGCCCACTTTGGGCTTCAAAAATGCTCTTCAGAAACCTACTGGTGATGTCACGGACACTACGTCCTTATTTTGTTACAGTCTATGGTACTACCTCACGAGCAGGGACTTTCTGAGGATGAATTTTATTTTATTTTTTACCCAGAACCACATAAATTGCACGAGCCAACTCACTACACATAATGACACGCAATAAATGTTTTGAAAAAACAAATCGTTAATTATATTTCAGCATAAACATACATCACTAGACACGGGTAGTGAACATAATCTAGCTAATATTTATAATTAATTTATGGCTAAAATGTTGCAGGTATATATAACAAAGAATTTAACCATAGAAAAACCATAGAATTCAAATAGGTTGTACTTTCTTTTTCGTGTGTGTGTGTATATAGATACTGTATATAAAAGGTCACATCATATGTTGTGAAATATGTTTTCACTTAATGTCTGTCTGTTGCACAGAATGACTCTCCTGAATCCTCACCTGACAGGTTCAGAAAAAGAAAGGTTAGATATGATTTTATATGTATGTATATGTGTGTATATATATATATATACAGTCTATACATGTCCAGATCCTGATATGATGACTTTACTGTTGAAGGAATTTAACAGCTGTCCTCATGTTCCACATCTCTGACATGCATCTTTTCTTTTTTTCACAGTGCAGAAAACAGCTGCGCTACTCCAGCTCTGGTCCGTATAATAATTATACAAAACCATATATACTATGTATGTGTGTGTGTGTATTGTATATATATATAGTGTGTGTGTGTGCATTTGTTGTAGAATCAGAGGGGAGGATCAATGGCAGTGAAGATGGTGATGTTGACAGCGATGATGTCAGTGACGTTTTTGATCTTGATGATGATGATGAAGGTATTGACATGAGCGTATTTGAAGGTCCAACCCTACCTGTTACCTGCGGTTCTGGCTTTGGCATCCTACACAAATGTCGCTTTGCCAAAGGTGTGTGAGTGGGCATATTTCTTACATTAATGACTACAAATGTTAATATATTGTGTGTTGGTCAAATATGTTTTACATTTATAAATACAATGGCTCCAAAAAGTATCTGGGCACTTTAAGCACACCTAAAAATGTCTGATTGTCGCTGCATTGGATACAATTATCAAACCAAGTGTCATAGCACAATCTAGCACAAACATACTTTATTACTTTATTTTTTACAGATTCTTCAGACAAAAACATGTTTAGTCAAACATATCCATCCATACTTAATCTGATTAACTGCACCTATGGTAGAGTATATATACATTAAAAATCACCAAAATGCCAGCTGATTAAAAGTCCCTCAGCTTATAAGGTAGTCTGTCACAATTGCAGGTGTCACTTAATTTGATATTTTGTGTCTATTGCAATGACATTCAGACATTTTAAATACTTTTTGTGATGATGCATAACTATAAGAGATTCTTAAACTATGGTACAGAGTATGGTTCAATGTTATCCCAGAGTATTGTGGGAGATGCATAAGGACAAAAGAGTTCTGGCTGAGCCCTGGGGATTTCACCATATTGAACAAACCAGATGGAACATGGAGGAAAGACATTGTGACCAATGGGATTCCTCTAGGAAAACTTATAATGGTAAAAATGTCAGAAAATTCACATTTTAAACTCTTTGAAATAATTTGACTCACCGTTCTCACATTCTTTCCAGAAAAGAGTTTTGGAACTGCATATGATAAACTGTGATTGTGAGATTTGTGAAGAACCAGATCATTACCTAGTAAGACATCATCATCATCTCACAATCACCATGTCAGAATATCAGCATGACCACCAAACTTTTCAGAATTCTTTAAATGTTTTATTTCTTTATGAACTCTTGTCCCAGCAGAATGATGACGTGTGTTTCGTGTGTGACTCTGAGGGAGATCTGGTGTGTTGTGACAAATGCCCACGAGCTTTTCATTCACACTGTCACCTACCAGCTGTAGATGGAGACTCACCTGGGTGAGAGAGAGAGAAAACCTTTACCTGGTCAAGACAAACTAAAAAGTTGATGTGTAATATTGTGTTTGCATGTACAGAAGCCAGTGGAGCTGCACATTCTGTGTGATAAAGAATATGGAGGATTCCAGTCGAAAGACCCAACAGGATGTTTTGAGCAGTCCAGTCTCTCAGTACACACAGGTAAAAAAGATGTCCTTCCTGTCTCCCTGTAAGCCTGTCTTAGGCATCTTACATTAGTTTATTGCTCTGTTCACATCTGCAGTCCTCATGCCTCCTGCAGCAGGAATATGGCATGTTCACACAGGTGATCAGGGATCCTTCAGCATCTTTCTCCTGAGTGTTTTTCAGAGTTCATAGAAAGGTCTCTTTAGTGTCCTTAAAGGTACACTATGTATCTTTTGGCCTCTATAGCAGTTAAAAACAAAACTGCATGCATTTTGTGGAAGAACATGTTTTTGTTTTTGCTTCGGCTCTGCATGAGTGTCCAGATGAATATGGTTCTTTCTCATATATATATATATATATATATATATATATATATATATATATATATATATATATATATATATATATATATATATATATATATATATATATAAAGAGAGAGAGATTATCCTATAGTGCTCATAAAATATTCACTACTAATGAGAGATATAACCAGTTTATATGGAAAGGATCTCAAGCTATTAGCTGAAGACGTTACTGTAGCTTTACCCATTAATGGTACTTCCTTGAAAATAAATTCCAGCACAGCTACAACAACCATAATGAAATGACCCTTCACAATAGATAATGCTTTACAATGAACTCTGTTGGAGAGCTACATATGACAGTTTATCTGTTCAATAAAATACCGTACTCACCTGTTGAGTGATAAAAACACCATCTCTGCATCACTTTTACAACATTTCCAATCCCTCAGTTCTCACCATCTCCGAAAAGCCAAGCGAATGTTGATTCTCATTTCATTAAACCCTCTGTCACACTTCTCGATTTACGGATATGACGAATGACGTATATGTACGCAATTTCCCGCATAAACTATTCTGACATGTCTAAAATATAAACACTTGTGTTTTTGTCCTAACCAGATTTACTGTTATGATGTATTGACTCATTGTTTACATTTAGTTAATTTTGAACAAAAAAAGTTACATAGTGTACCTTTCAGTTATTGTAACTCTGACCTAAATAGTCTACCTCCTGTAGGCCTAGTTTTACAGACAGGGCTTAGATTAATCCAGGGATTAGGCCTTAGTTCAATTGGGGCATTTAAGTAGGTTTTATTAAGGTGCCTTATAAAAACATTACAGGTGTGAATCTTGAGACAAAACAATGGTATTGATATATTTTAAGATGTCAATGGAAGTTGCTTTAAGTTAAAACAGCTCAACATGCATTTTTGTCTGGGACTACACTTAAGCCTTGTCTGTGAAACCAGGCATTAGTGTCTTATGGACTGTTCCACATGTGCAATAACTGTTTATGGTTCATCGAACAAACATGAAAAACATTGTTTAAAGCCTTTCCAGTAAAGATCTGTAAAGCTTATTTGGATTTTACAAAATTATCTTTAAAATACAGCATCCTGAGAAAGGGACATTTATCTTTTTTGGGGGGTGAGTAGGATATTTTTAGCCAGATGGCATTTACACCTTCATCCAGTTTGTCTCCTGTGTGATTGTTTAGAGATCTGATCACAAAATGCAAATTGCCGATCCCTGGCAAAATGCAAATTGCCACTTACATATTACATAAGGTTGCATTAAATGAAACCTGTCTGAAAACAGTGCTGTGTTTGGTGAGAGAAATGAGAAAAACAAGATTCCAAGTGAAATAATTGAATAATATTTTTGATCAGGTGAGTAAACCATCATAGTGCAGTTTTGGAAGCAGAAAAAGTAAAGCATAACCTCATTACATGTTACTTGCATTGCTGAGTGGAGATTATAAAAGCTAATATGCATTTACACCTTCATTAAATGAGATCAGCATTTGTTTTATAGTGATCTAATTTGAGTGGGTCTTGAGTGCATTTACACCTGGCTTTTAATGTTGTCAAGTGTGATGATGATCCGATCATGATACATGACAGATGATGCACATAGACTACACTGTTTTAACACCTAGTCTGTTTTTTTTTCCCAGCACTGCCAGTGTTTGCTGTTACAACTGCTACATGACTGCATGACTGACTCCTGCACTAATGTAAATCTCTTCTTTAGCTTCTTCATCTGTCTCTATTTGTCATTAAATGATTTATCTGTCATTATTTAAAGGTCTTATATGTGATGTTCATACATGTGACGTCTGCACTGCTGGTGTTCAGGTTCCAGGATACAGTAAGAATATTTGTGGTCCCATGATGCTGGGCAGAGTGAAGCTGGAGCTGGAAAATAACGCTTATCAAACAGTGCAAGAGTTTGTCTCAGATATTAAACTAATTTTCAACAACTTTTCCACCTCCAGCGCAGTGAGTTTTTTCAACTTTTTCCAATGTTGAAAGAGTCTTAACATTTTTTTTAAATGTTGTCTTATATATTCTCTCTCTCTCTGTAGGATAATGACTCCAGTAAAATGACTTCTAGACTGAAGGAAGTATTCAAGAAGGAGTTTAAAACAGTCTTTAAGCTCCTATAACATCATATGCAGTGGGTTGAATTGTCAAAACAGAAGTTTCTGTCGGGTTTTTATTCCAGCTCTTCTGCAGTCTAAAGTTACATTCACACTCACACTGCAATTTAAAGCAATAAGAGGACATTCATTTTAATAACTGATTGTTGAGGATTTGAATGACAGCAACAATGGCCATCCAATTTTTTTTATGATAAATAAACGGATACCATTGTTAAAATGTGGACAGATTTGAAATAATTTTGTTTTTACATTTAGAAATTCTTCAAAAGTTTTTTTTGTGTAAATGTCAAGTAGTATAATAATAATAGTCTTTGAGTGGCTCAGAATAAATACAGATATTGGCCTATATATAAGATGACATGTAACAAATAACTTATTTTGTATGCTAATTATACAAAATACCACTCACAATGAAATATTTGGGAGAGCAACTATTATCTCCTTTTATTGAATAATTCTCTTTCCATTGTTGAATGCCAAAACAATCAGGCCAAGAAGCAAATATTGCCTCCGGCAAGTTTTAAATGTACTAAATAGCAATGTTATAAATCTGTAATTAAAGTGGAAGTTTATAATGAAATACATCTGTGTTCATGGTCCTCTCTTCATAATTTAGTAGAAATTCTGCTTGTGTTTGCTGAACTTTATTCATTCAGATTAGTGGATTACATTCTTTCTGTTCTTAGGTGTAATCCATTTTTGTCTCTCTATCACATATTGGAGTTCAAATTAATATATTAAATGAATTATGTTTTGGCAAAAGGCACTAGATTTTTACAACCAATTATGAATATCCAAATCATGCTATATTAAATGATAATTTACCAAACCACGCGAGATGGAGAAAATGAAGCTACAAACTGTAATGAGATATGTAGTGTGTGTAGTGTGTGCGCGCGTTTGATTATCTTATTACAATTTATACAGTATGCACTGATCAGGCATCATGCTGATCATAACATGTGTTTCCTTAAATTTTCAAGATTTCATTATTACATAAATCATAATTATGTAAAATAATGAATATGAATCTCAAATTATCCAGTTCGTTCAACAGCTGACGCGAGCAGTCTGAAATTGTATATGTCTTGCAATTAAAACCAGGATTTTTCTACGATTCCACTTCCAGTATAGGTAAAAATTAGTTGATTTTTATAACCTGTTCGAAGTTTATTTGAATTATGCATGGCTGAATCAGGATTTTGTAATATGTTCGCCACCTGATAAACACTGATATTTTAAATGTTAGGCTAAAATATATCAAATTACATTTTAATTATCTTTTGTTATATAAAGATTTTTAAAATGCTAAGTGATCCGGGCATTGGCAGATACAGAAAGGTGTGGTTTAGGTGGAGCAAGGAAAAGGAAAGGAGACTATTTGTGTGTAAGCTACATACTCGACTGCATAAAAGAGAGAGGGAACTCGACAAACAGACAGCAAGGTGAGTAAGTTACATTAATTATTAGTAATTCCAAATTCAATGTTGTTTTTATGATGTGTTGTTTTCTTTCATTTTTTTATCACTCAAATTCCACAATAACAGTCCAGGGGTGCGTTTCCCGAAAGCATCGTTAGCCAACTATGGTCGCAAGTTCCGTCGTTATCATCAATATCATTCAACGAGTCGATGTTTCCCGAAACCATCGTTCCAACGAACATTCGCAAACAGCATCGCAAAGTTGTGTGGTTGGAACTGCAGCTCTCGAGCTGTGGTTAGACGCATAGATTGATGAAATGTCGACTTAATAAATCCTTATCTTGAGCAAAATAATCAAGCTGACATTCAGTACAACCTGTGTCTTTTATTTAGAATAGGCTACATACAAATGTAATTTACGTCTTTGAATTTGTCAAGAGATTTAAAGCACCGTTTTTGAAGGCATGTACGAACGAACTATGTATGTAAGAACGAGATTGAATCTGGAAATAACTGAGAAAAAATTGCATGTCTGTAATTTATATCAAAACATCTAGCATTAATTCGATCTTAAACAGTTACGACCACTTTGTGGCAATATGGTTTCGGGAAACAGTCGTGACTAGCTGATTTCTTCAACGATGCATCGTAGGCTACTATCAATGGTAGTGAAGCATCGAGTTACGTCGTTGCACGAGAAACGCACCCTAGGTAGACACTTTCAGTTTTGTTTCTGTGTCAGAGTGAGTGGTAGGCCTACTGCACCATAAAGTAGTAGGCTCGTTCTGTACAATTGTGTAATGGTTACAAAAACAAATTCATTATATATATATATATATATATATATATATATATATATATATATATATATATATATATATATATATATATATATATATATAAACATTTTATTTAACTAGACTGTCTCTGTCTCTGTCCACTTGTAAAAATATGTACAAAAAATAGCTTAAAGTATCTTGTAATTGTTCAGAACTGATTTTAAATGATTTTGGCATTTGAATCTCAAATTATCCAGTTCGTTCAACAGCTGACACGAGCACACTGAAATTGTATGTGGTCAAAGCCCCTCTCAGACAGAATACCAAGCAATGCCTAGTGTAAACATTACAACACATAACAAGAGCAGCCGTTTATTGCCTATTGTATTGACAGGAGTTTTGATAGCACAATATGTTGTCTGTAAAACTAATATTTTTACTGAAAACTGATATTTTCTGATATATAGAAAACTGATTTTTTCTAAAAAAAAAAAAGTATAGGGTATTGTATGTATGTGAGCAGGTTGTAACTGCATTCCAATGAGTCACTGAAGGTTTGGGTGGATGTTTGTTAGACGTCCAATATAATATGATGACGACAAACATGATAAATGATTGTTTGAGCAGAATGTATTTATTGGTACACTTCACAGAGTCAATAATTCACAATCTATTCTCTTTTGCAGAATCAACTATATTTAAGAGGAAATCACTATGGACTATGGATTTTTCGAAGATGAAAAGTTATTGGAAGTTTTCCGTCAAAACAAGACAAAAATATCTACAATAGAAAAGCCATTGATATTTCTTCGCCATCTCAAAGACAATAGACTCATTACAAATGAGCTTTATGTAAGATGATTGTAATTTTTTAAGTGTAAAAGACTAAGAATTCTATAGTAAAAACCTGTTAATTGGTTAATTGGTTAACAGTAAGTTTCTAATTCAGCAGAAAAGCGATTTGCCGTTTTTAAAATTGTATGATTTATGGGTTGTTTTGTAGATGTTTACATTTTACAAAATACTTCTGGCAACCACAACTGTCATTTATTTCACCATAAAAAATGATTTTAGTGTTGATCTTAACCTTCAGACCAATAATATATCAATATAAAAAACAAAGATTTAACTTTTTTTTCTCTCTTTTTTTTTGAAGCAAAAGCTTCAGAAAGGTGATTATGATAATGGTGTGTATGATGCATTGGAGTATATTCAAACCCATGGAACAAAGAAAGTTAGACATTTCTGGAAATGTGTGGACCAGGAGCACATTTTACAGTGTTACCCCCAACTCTCTGAAATCATTGCAACTCTGAAGAAGTGTGAGAAATCATCTGTTTAGCTATCTGTCAGTCTGTCTGTGACTTATCACATTGAGGTCTGCACTGCAGCATTGCTGATGTATTTCCTAATTCTAGTTTTTATCTCCTCAGCTCTTAGAGAACCAAACAACAAAATAAGGGAGAGATATGAGGATCGAGGCACAGGAAAAGAAAGAGAGGGGATAGAGAAGAGCTCTGTGAGTAACCAAGCTGGCCCGTCGTCACAAATCACTGACAGACAGAAGAAGAAAGCCAAACACATGGAGAGAGGTGAGTTCTCTGACAAAATCAGATACAATCTTAAAAATAAAGATTCTTATTGGCATGAAGAACCTTCAACATCTATGGAACATTTTCATTGCACAAAATGTTCTTTATACTAGAAAAAAGGTTCTTTAGAATGAGTTCTTAAAAAAAACTTAATGTGTTCAGTCACTGTTCAGTGAAAGGTTCTTTGAGGAACGTCTCGGTTACATATGGTAACCCTCGTTCCCTGATGGAGGGAACGGAGACGTACATGACGTAACCGACGAATAGGAATCTCGCTAGAGAGGCCAATCTGCTTTGAATGAAACTAAACGAGCCAATGCACATTGGCGTGCAATCATTTGCAGCATATGCATCATTTGCACGCAGCGTGTGTATATAATGAGCAGCAGGTGTGATTGCACTTCAGTTTTTCGCTGAGGAGCTGAGCAATGACCCGGCCGCGCAGCGGAGCTGTGGTGACAGGACCTACTTCTCCGTTCCCTTACTATGTAACCGAGACGTTCCCTATCAGTCGGTCACTATGACATACGTCATGACCGACGAATAGAAATCCCTACCAAAGCGCCACAGCTACTGCCCCCTTTCAGTGCCCTGTGCAAGCCTCTTGCCCCTTCTTGCCTGGCAGGACGATAGGAGAGGGCTTACACAGAGAGTGTCCCTCACTGTTGTTCCGGGATTACCCCTAACAGTGAGACTGTTGGATAACCCTGGGAACGCGTGCCCCTGCCGTTTATACAAATGCAGAAGTATATTATTCATATATTAAATACACAAATAATTAATATAACTTTTTAAATTAAATACAATAATAATAACTTGTATCCAAATCCTATTAAATTTGCATACGGTAGCAGAAGTTGCAGTAAATTTGTATTGATGAACAGACAATATTATATAATATATCCATACTTTCTGTTAGATAGCTACTTTTTCAAAAGGGTACCTTTAGTTTAACTACGTGAATGATCCGAATCTTATAAAACAGTTTAGAATAGCTTAATTAGTCCAGTGTTATTTTACTATTATTTATTTATATATAGGCTATTATACATTTTAGTAATATTTTATTTACGTTGCTATTTATATTTATGTTTTTTTATTTGAGAATGTTTCTGGATGTCATGACGTTTTGTCACTAACTTCTGTAAATTCTATCTTAATAGAAAACACATACATTACACACTAAATTTAATTTGGGACTCATATTGTTCACTTTGCTTGACACAAAATTCAAGAAATTAGCCAGATTGTGCCACACAACATTGCAAAAATTTGAAGAAAAACACCATCTATTTTATGTTTCAGACAGCAAGAAAACTCAACATCAAATATCTTCATAATAGATATTATGAGAAATTATCCCAAAGAGACGGTTACACACCATGTCCGGGGTGAAAATTTTTCATACACCAAAATTATTTTTATGAATATGGTCCATTTCGAAGTGTTTAAATCCAAACAAAACAATATTCGTAGATTCTCCTCTCCTGTATTGTTTTGTGCTTGCACAGTGTCATGCAGCACGTAGACTCTGAGGCATCGGCGCAGCTGGTTCCGTGGCTTGCAGTTTGTATATTAGCTAATGTCGCAATCATTTTTTATAGATTTTTTTAAAGTTTATTTGCAATTCTTATAAAATAATTATCGAGTCATGCGGTACGACACTGATTTAATTTAGAGTATTCGTTCTCAAGTCAAAGTCAAGTAATTTTCTTCATTTATTAGAAATCTTTAAATTCGCGTGCAGTCACATAACTCAAGACCTCCACCTCTGATATTTACAGCTTTTAAAGTGTGGAACGTAAGATAAACATCATAAGATTTGCTTCGGCATCTGGCTTGCAATATCACTTGCGTATAGGCCGAAATAAATCACAACACAGGAAAACTCTGATTGTGTTGTTATGTATTATATTAATTCAGCCACAGTGCATTGTAATGACATCGAACCTGGTCTGTCCTAACACTGGAAGACGGTACCAAAATCTAGTGCTGCAACAACTCGCTAATTTTTAAAAAATGAATATAAATTAGCTCAACTTACCAACTTAGCTTTTTTTTTAGTTGGAAAGCTCGCTATTCTTAGTCCGGGTTAAAAGCATCGCAGAACCGTTAATTATTCAAATGTAAGCCGAAAGATAATTTGAATTTTTGAGTGACAGACAAGTAGAAGGGTGGGGGCACATTGGGGGGCCAATCAGTTTTCAGGAGGGGCCAGTGCCCCCATAGCCCCTCCCCTGTCTACACCATTGGTCCTGAGGCTTTGAGTTCTGTCCACGTACAGTCGCAGAGTGCGGACGGGACAGAGCGAAGCCAGGGCTGGGTCTTCCTCCTCCAGGGATAGCACTTGCAGGTTCACAACCTGGTCCCTGAAGGGAGTGGTTGGAACCTTGGGCACATAGCCAGGCCAGGGTCTCAGTACTACATGGTTGTCACCCGGCCCGAACTCCAGGCACGATTTGTCGACCGAAAATGCTTGCCGGTCCCCTACCCTCTTGATGGAGGCCAGTGCAACCAGCAGCAAAGTCTCCATGGACAGAAGCTTTAAGTCTGCTGATTGCAAAGGCTCAAAGGCAATATCCTGGAGTGCTCAATGCACCAGGGAAAGGTCCCAAGAGGGTATGGAGGAGGATTTAACCGTCTCGCCCCCCTAAGGAATCTGACAACCAGGTCGTGCTTTCGTTAGGCTGAAATAGCATCAGCATGTACTTTGAGGGTGGAGGGAGACAGCCCTAGCTCCAACCCTTGCAGCAAGAAGGAGAGGACGGACCCTATCGAACACGCTTACCTTTGGCTTTGCCCCCCCCCTCTTGGCCCTTCCTGCGACTGGTTCCTTGGCACTGCTTGGGTGGAGGCTGCTGCTGCGGCGCCGGAGCGAGGGCAGTCGCAGAAGGATGCCCTCGGCGATGAATAGACTAAGGAGCAGGATGTGTCTGATCGCCTCAGTCTGCTTCTGTACAGCCGAGGACTGCTGGGCAAAGTTCTCGACCACGTCGCCGAAGAGGCCGGTCTGGGACATGGGGGAGTTAAGAAACCTGACCATGTCGGTCTCTCTCATGTTGGTCAGGCACAGCCAGAGATGGCGTTTCTGGACCACCATAGTGAACATCACATGACCCACGACTGTGCGGTCACCTTTGTCGCACTAAGCGCGAGGTCCGTCGCGGCACAAAGTTTCTGGAGAACTTGGGGATCATGACCACCCTCATGCAGGTCCCTCAGTGCACTGGCCTGATGGACGTACAACAACGCCATAGCGTGTAAGGCAGAGCCACCTTCCCCACAGGCTTGTAAGCCTTGCCGATTAGGTCCGACGAGTGCCCGGGAAGGGAGACACGGCTCTCCCCGCCAGGTCGAGTTAGGGCACAGTTGCATGGTAACGGCCCGTTCCATTGGGGAGATGAGCATGGAACCCTTAGCTGCCCCGCCATCAAGGGTGGTGAGGGAGGAGGAGCAACTGGATCATTTTCGGGCAGTAAAAGGTGCAGTCCACGATCCAGAAAGCTCCTCATGCACCTTCGGGAAGAAAGGAACCGGGGTGAGTGGCTGAGAACCAGTACGAGCTACCCCGATAAACCATTCACCCAGCCTCGATCCTGTTGGCGGCCCAGGAAAGCATGGCCATTATCTCCGTGTCCGACTCGGGCAACACTGTCACTCCCAAAGGGGGCAGCACAGCCGAATCGGCATCCCTGGAGAAGTCTGACCCACCCTCCGATGCAGAGATCGACATCTGGTCATCAGGGGGAGCACCAAAGGATACGGCTGGTACACCGTGATGGTCTGAGATGGTCATCTTCCCACAATGGGTGGATGACTCATCCACGAACGCTGCTTCAGCATGTTTAATGCCCAGACACGCGATGCAGCGCTCGTGACCATCCCGCGATCCCAGGTAACGACCGCATCCAGAAATGCACAGGTAAAGTGACATCTTTAAAAAGACACGCTCCACCCGTGTAAGCTCTTTCAGAGGACTGCTCTCCTTGGTGCTGGAGCACACAGGGGAACGGTTGCAGTGGACACAGACGTGCGCTGTCTCTCTCACGTCGGTCTTACCAACCATAAGAACAGCTTTTCAGCACTCATGGCGCACTGTACCAGCTGTGAAAACTGCCTTTTTGTTTTGCTCAAATGAAGGAAAACAAAAAGAGATAGAGAGAGAGAGAGAGAGAGAAAGAAAGTCGACCCGCTGCCGCGCTGTGTCGCCCCCACCAGACACGAGAGGTCATCCTGAAGAGCTTGCTCGTTGAATTCCAACTCAATCGATTTAAACTGCATTGAAAGCTCGGCTCCAAAGCGAAAAGCTGAAGTGCAATCGCACCTACTGCTAATTATATACCTTATATATACATTATATATATGTGTGGCAGAGCAGCTGCTGCAAATGATTTCACACCAATGTGCATTGGTTTGTTTAGTTTCACTCGAAGTAGATTGGCCTCTCTAGCGAGATTCCTATTTGTTGGGTCATGACGTAAACCATTGTGACCGAATGATAGGGATCCAAAAATGATGGTCCTTTGGCATCACTGTTAACAATTAGCAATCTGTCTTTTTTTTAAAAAATTATTAGTTTGAGATCTGCAAACTTACTGTTTTGTATTTCTAAAAATTCTCCAGATCTTCAGAGTTCTCCAGACTCTACCACGGAATCAGAGCCATTTTCCCATCCATCCTTAAGTATGTAGAGCACTTTTTGTGTGTGAAGAATTACATTTGCTAAACACTTTAATGTCTTATTTTTTGTTTGTTTTGTTTTAATCACTTTAATTTGGCTTTTTACGTTCATCACCCAAGAGGAAGAAGTGAATCTCTGGGATAAGCCTAAACACAAGAGATGGCTTCCTGTCACATGTGGTAACAAAAAGGCTTCAATTGACAGAGTCGCACTATTTAACAGTAAGTTACCCTCACTGTTTAAATGTTTCAAAGCAGCAGCAGCATCACCTTCTGAATCACGGCACTCTCTGAACATTATAACAATACAGAGTTTTATTGTTTTATTATATAATTTATACTCTTTTGTGCTGATCTCCACATGAGTGTTTCAAAATGAAAATTGTGCTTTATGAATAGTAACTTAAATTTTCTGAAAATGTAGAACCTGAAAAAGTAGTTCTTAAAAAAAATTGATGAATATTAGAAACAAAATATGTATATGTGTGCCTTAGAATGAATTAATATTTGTTTAGGAATACTTTAAAATAAAAATAGAATATTTTTTAATGACCCTACGAGTTTGAACACTCAAAATATGAGAAAAATATTTTATATACTGTATGTAATGCGTACTCAAGATGATGACAGACTGACAGAAGGCTGGATTAAAAAGTTTCAACTTGGATTAATAAACAAAAGACAGACTGGTGTAACAGTGTGTCAAATGCAAACACAAGCATTAACACAATTAACAACCGACAACTGAAGGAAAATAGCAACTTAAATACTGGCTAGATGAGGGAACAAATTAACAACAACTGTGACGATTAAATGATTGTCCATGACAAAAAAAAAATGAGAAGCTGGAAACAAAGGAACACAGGAACCACAGAATGCAAACTAAAAGCGTCTAGGGCGGACTTCACTTCCCAACAAGTCAACGAATAGTCTAAGCGCTGTCTTGAAACAGCGATGATGACGAACAAACAGATAGATCACAGTCCATACAGTTCTTAGTAGTTCTCTGAGAGTAGCAGGACATGTGCCTGCTGACAGCTTTTCCTGCAGAAGCTCCAGCGCTGAAACAATCTGGCAGTGGACTGGGTCTGCATGATGTATAGTACACAACCGTTTCAAAGATGCGCCACTTAAGGGCACACATTCTTCTAGTGGAGGGAGCCCTAGCACTCAGAAGGCTCTTTATTACATCCGTTGAAAGTCCAGCATCTCTTAGCCGGTCCCCCTCAGGGACCAAACATGAAGATTCCATAACTCAGCCCGGGGATGGAATATCGTCCCCTGCACCTGAGACAAGAGATCACTCCTGTTCGGTATCGCCAAAGGCAAGCCGTCGAGGAGAGATTTTCTGAGAACCAGACACTGGTCGGCCAACGAGGCGCTGTCAATAGGCATGGCCCTTGTTGACGGACCTTCACTAGGACTCCCGAGAGCAGAGAGATAGATGGAAACTCATATAGACGCTTCCTGGCCCATGCATGGGCCATGGTGTCCAGACCCAGGGGGGCTGGAGGAGTCAGCGAGAAGTACAGGGGACATTGCGCTGTTTCTTATGAAATGAAGAGGTCCACCTCTGCTTCATAAAATCTTTCCCAGATCTGACTGACTACATCGGGATAGAGCTTCCAATTCCTGTGTGTGATCTCCTGTCTGGACAATAGATCTGCTTCCACGTTCATGCTTCTGTGAATGTAAATTATCCTGAGGGACAGGAACTTGTTCTAAGCCCAAAGCAAAACCTGCTGCGCTAGTTTGTTCAGGGCAGTCCGCCCTGGCGATTTATATAAGCGACTACTGCAGTGTTCTCCACCCGCATCATGGTAGCCTCTTAACTGCCGGAGGAATATTTCAGGGCCAGAAATACAGCCATCAATTTGAGGCAATTGATTTGCCATTTGAGATGCCAGCCCTTCAGGAAATCGTCTCTTGTTAGTATCCTGCGACGACAACACCCACCTACAGTTATTATATTTCTACAGACAGGGTCTGAGCCACGTAGAAAATGTATGAAACCCACAGCACGTAACCCTTACCATAAGCATGGATTTTAGAAAGGGCACAAAGCACTCACCTTATTTGCCTCTGGGGATTAGCCCTGGGATGAAATCTGCTGGCTCTGAGCCACAGCTGAAACGGTCTCATGAGCAGAAGGCTCAAAGGTATCACCGTGGACACAGCTGCCATAAGACCTAGAACACTTTGAAGTAATGGAAAGTAATTTCCTGACCTAGCCTAATATTGTTCAGAGTGTTTTTAATGAACTCGACATGTGTGGGAGGCAGTTGTGCTCGCATGGTGGCCGAGTCCCATACAACCCCTAAATACATACAGTGGAGAAAATAATTATTTGGTAAGTTTGCCCACTTACAAAGAAATGAAGGGGTCAATCATTTTATGGTAGGTTTATTTTAACGGATAGAGATAGAATATCAGATAGATATAGATTCTTTATTGACAAGAGAACCTACATCCTCAGCCCGCTCTGAATAAGCGCCAGCAGTGGACGGGAGGACGACGCGATCTTAAGAGAGAACGAGAGAAAGGGAAGGACCCGTCTCCCGCTAGAGAAAGAGAAAGAGAGTGAGAAAGGCTTTCCTGCCTGACAAAGCTCCTTGCAAAAGTGATAGTTTGAGAAGAGGTTTTAATAGCACACAATGTGGTTCTGAAGACAAAAGAACTTGATGAGCACACCTGTCACGCGTCTATTTATAGCCTTTGACATGCGCATTCCGATGATGTCATCATCAGAGGTTATTTAAGCCAAATTCTTTGCCGTGTTTGCCACACGTGTTCACAACCGGTCAAACGAAGACGTTTTCCCCATAGCGCTGTTCGCGCAGCATTGAGTGTAGCTTTTGAAAGGGTCCGGGAACTGATTTACTTTCCATTTACACTTAAACACACCTACCACATACATACAAATACTGTATTAAAATTCTCCTCTATTCTCAGGAAAAAGGGATTGCATTAAACATAATGGCGAAATGATCTCCCCTTATACATTTGAGCAAAGGGGTAACAAAGAAGCACACAAGAGCTGGAAAACAAGTATATTATGCCAAGGCAAAACCCTCAAGAGTCTTATGGAGGTGAGAACAAAAAGAGATCCACTTGCACATTAGCTAATGTGTCTCACTCTCAGTACTTGAAAACATTTAGCCAAAATATAAAAACAGTATCTTTTCAGTTTTGTGACTTAAATTATATTCTTTAAAAAAAAAAGCTTTTCTAACCTTGTTTATTTTTCTTTTCAGATGGAAATTTTGAAGATACCTAAAGTTGAGGGAAAATTTACCCTTCATAAATGATATGTCCTATGCATCATTTATTCAGCATTTTAAATTACTCATAAATCGACTAATTTTGTTCCACTTTTAATAAAGTCTGTCAATGAATGGATTGTTTTAGTGTGAAATAAAGCTATTAAGTTACATTGTTACCTTCAGAAGAGGGCAGCACTGTTTCATAAGAAACTAGACATTGAAGGCTAATTATAAATAAAGGATCAAATGTTTTCAGACTACACACAGCATTTGTTCTTTACATTAGGTGGCCCATATAGAAAATGGACATTTGTTTTTGGCTGTTTATCATTGAACTGATAAATAGAAAGTGGGCAATAGAGGAGGCCCTAAAGTACTATCGAATAATCATCTAGCCACCGTCTATGAAAGACTTAACATAATACAATTCCTGTTTACCCATTCACACTAAATAAATCACATCTAAATAAAAATAATAAAAATTATTATTACCTCAAAATATTAGTGAACTGTCCAATTTGCTTGATCTTTGAGCCAATTAATAATAGCAAATTCTATGTTCATGTAACATTAATTATTTGTTTTTTTATTCAACCTTATCAAGATTTGTCAAACATAGCATGTCCACCATGACACATAAAATTAAAAAATTGTTCATATTTTTGTACTATTTATAGGCAAGTCATGGTAACACTTTACAAAAGGTTTAATTTGTTATGCATCTACCAACATGAACTAACAAATAAGCATTTTTTACCACATTTCAAATAAAAAAAATGGAAAGATTGTAACCCTCTGGTGTACATAGACATTTGCATTTTAAACACAATAATAATATTCAACCAAAACAAATACAGTTTAATATTATCATGTGACATCCCCTTAATAAAATTAAAATCTATCTGCCATGTGCTTCACATTTTTGGCAACAAGGAAATGGAGAGGCACATGCTGCACATGTAGATTGCATGGGGTCAAGGCTCCATTGTGAGTTCATTTTAGACTATAAATACATATAAATTCAATTAGAAAAAGAACATGCTTCCAGTACCTCACACTAGACCCTGCCCCACGCTTGGGGCGGCCCAGGAAGCAGTGAGGGTGATGGCAGAGATGAACAATTCAGAAGTCACAGATTGATGTGGAAGTCAGGCATTTGGGTACATTATCCTATGCCAGTCTGGAAAATGTGATCCATACACAACCAGAGGTCAGGAAAAATGCCACTGCCAATTGGCCTCACTATACACTGACAAGCAATTGCTCCAAAAATGATGACTAAACAGGTCAAAATCGAGTTACATGTGGAAAATCTGGGCTACACTGAAAAAGTCTTGTTGATTTTTCACTTGTGCTACAATCATTGCTTTGGAATTTCAAGAAAGAAACAATGTTTTAATGAACACTAAGACATGGTTTCACTACTTTCCAGGCAGTGAAATTGCATCTGAATTTGTGTCAAGTTTTTGACATTTTCACATGCGAATGACATTCCAAATGAAATATAGCAATACAAGATGAAATGGAATGTTAATAATACCTTTTAATGCTTTTTTGAAACACTAAGACCTTTTCACTGCTTTTCAGGTAGTTAAAATGCATCAAATGTGTGTGAAGTTTCAGGCAATTTGCCAAAAATAGTGTAGGGGTGAACGGGGCACATCCTAACGCGGGGTTAGTTGTAACACACTTGTTTTAAATATTTCCACACATGCTAGCATGATTAAACTTAGTGTATTTACTAGTTGCCATATCAACATAGAGAAATAAATGCGCCAAAATTCAGAAATCTTTGAAAGATATCACTGAACATTTAACCATAGCAAAAGTACATATCTTACTTGTGTTCATTTTTCATCCCTGTTTTTTTTTATTAGACAAATTGATATTATTATTATAATTATATTATTTTAATCTCCAATCTGTTATTGAACTGTTGAGATAGTTCTTTAATGCTGATCTAACCAGGAGAAGACACTAGCAGGGTTTAAATCCCAGTTGCGCAGGCGGGGAATGTTGTAACACTGCGTTACAATGTGCTCCTGTTAGAAATATGCCATTCCATTCTATACTTTTATGAATTCTATTGAGAAGCCTTGAGAAAAAGGTGAATAAAGACTGGGAGTCAATGGTCAGAAATTATGATTTTTTATTAAAAGGTCAGATTTTGAAAGTGAACTTCCCGGATCAATAACTCAAATGATAAAACAATATAAAACACAAATGACACCTTTTTCCAGTCATAGTAATGAGCTACGACCCAATTTTCCTCAAAACAGGCTTTATAATAATAGGTCTCTATGAGCAGGCGGCTGATAGACAAGTCCCAAGGGACCGTCTGCAAAGTGCAAAACCCAAAACCCTTTTGCACATTTTATGTTATGCAAAATATTCAATAACTTCACTGTAACACACTGTACTGTCACCAAATTCAGTTCACACATCACTGCTCTCCTGCTGGTTATACTACAGCACTAAGTCTGATATAAATGCATAATTTTAATGATTATTTATTATGAAACTAAACCAATGGTTTTACGGTTATTCGATTTTTTTATATCAGGCTATCCATTTATATTAGGCTATGAAGCTTGTTTTGAGGAAAATTGGGTTGTAGCTCGATCTATGTTACTATGATTGGAAATAGGTGTCATTTGTGTTTCAACAACGTTTAGCTCATGAGTTATTGATCCGGGAAGTTTAAATCTGTGAATATATTGCCAACTTTGCAGGGAATGCAAAGTTTCTCAGGGGAACGTGAAGGTTTTGCGAGAGAACGCAAAAGATTTGAAAAATCCTTTTTTCTCCCATCCCACATTTTTTTCCACCACCATGTCCCTTTAGGCTGCATAGAATCTTGATGTTGTTTGTTCATGTTTGTCTGTGTGTGAAAGAGGACTACAGTAAAAGGGTTAATAATGTCAGCATGCTAATAAAATATATTTTTTAAGTATTTACAATACTGCTTTGAAAAACCATTTCCATTAAAAGGTTCTGGAAATTATTTGCATTATGTGGACGAGCCCAAAAAAATTATATCCTTTCTCATCTGTTGTTTTTATACTTATTTTTTGTCACTCAGTTGCAAGAGATCATAATTCTAGAGCATCCAGAAGTCATTCCAGCAATGGTTGAATAAACCGCCTTTAGTGCAGAAGTGTATCTTTAATGAAGGCGGACCGAAAAGCAGCTTTCAGTTTCGTTTATTTGAATGTGAGAGGGAGGCAATGCAACTCAACGTGGAGGAACCCGTCCACTTCCTGCTGTTCAAATAATGCAGATGATACAATCGCCTCCTTCATGAAATCATTCTTTAAGAGCATTCCAGTAAATGACTGGCTGAGTGAGAACAGCGTTAGAAATAAAGGACATCAAGGGATAAAAAGAGGAAGATGGAGAAACAAAACTGTAAGAAGAGACAGCTGAGGGGATCGTCCTCCCTCTGCACATCAGAGAAGAAACAAGCCAAGAGACAAAACTGCCCCAGTGAGTCTAAAGCATTTTTACTAATTTAATGACAAGACAGTATAATTAATCAGGCATGCTCTTTAAAATATTAAGAGGTGCACATTACGCTAACTGATTTGATTGTACTTGTTTCAGAATCGTCTGCAGAACAAAATGAATCTCAACTTCCTGTTACATGTGGTTATAAAGAGGGCTTCTTGCATTTGAAGAAATATAATAACAGTAGGTGCATAAACGTTTCTGTTAAAGAATTGAGTAATGTTTATGAGGAGCTAAGTTGTTGAATGTCTCCAGATTGTAATTCTGGATCATCTAACATCCAGGTGCTCACAAGTCATTCCAATAGTGGTTGAATAAACTCTTTCTGTCCTTAGAACAGGAGTGCATCTTCAGTGAAGGCCAGTGGTTCAAGCCCACTGAGTTCGAGAGGTTTGCAGGGAAGGAAAGAAACAAAAAGTGGAAAACCAGCATCCTTAGCAATGGGATTCCACTCCAGAAACTCATAGAGGTGCATAAGATCGGTTTTAATAATTAATCAATACTAACAGTTCCAACTAATGCACTTGAGAGCACTTATAGTTAGCTATTTTTTTTTTATCATGGCCTTGGTGATTAGTGAGTTGGAATTCATTTGAGAAATTCCAGTTAAATAACAGTTCCCTGATATAAAGATGGACACAGTGAAGAAAACATAATGACATATTTAAATACATGTATGACATATTATAACTTTGTGCTGCTTTCTATTCATAGAAGGCCTTTCTTTCATCTAAAAACTTTGCGAAAAGCAAGGTTCAGGATGCAAAGGTTTGGCTGCTATTGGATGGTTTCAGATTTGATGGAGGAGTTAACTTTCTAGACTGAAGCTTTCAAATGTGACTTACTGTAAGTTAAGAGTGACCTAGATGTTCATCAACATTTCTCATTTTATGTTCTGCAGAAGAAAAAAAGCCCTGTGGGTTTGGAACAACAGGGTGAGAAATGTTTTATTTAATAGAAAATAACAGTTATTCAGAAAGATATAGAAAATATTCTAAATGTTTGTGTATTTGTTGTATTTTGTATTTGTAGAAGATGATGATGATGGTGATGATGATGATGATGATGATGATGATGATGATGATGGGATTGACATGAGCGTGTTTAAAGGTCCAACCCTACCTGTTACATGCGGTTCTGGCGTTGGCATTCTACACAAATGTCGCTTTGACAAAGGTGTGTGAGTGGGAATGAATTACTATGAATATTAATATGTTGTCAGTGTTTTACATTTCTAGCTAGAAAATCTGAAGTGTTTCTTAAAACAAGTTATCAGGTTTTCTCTTGCATATTGACAATGAATGTAAATATAGCTTGACTGTAGTGGTACAGGACTTTAGCCCACAGATGTGTCTTTATCCCAGGGCATTGTGGGAGATGCATAAGGACAGAAGACGTCTGGCTGAGCCCTGGGGATTTCACCATATTCAACAAACCAGATGGAAAATGGAGGAAAGACATTGTGGCCCATGGGATTCCTCTAGGAAAACTTATAATGGTAAAACAAATTATCATTGTGTCAGAAAAATTCACATTTAAAACACTTATACAACACTGTGTTCTCACATTCTTTCCAGAAAAGAGTTTTGGAACCGCATATGATAAACTGTGATCAAGTAAGACATCATCATCATCTCACAATCACCATGTCAGAATATCAGCATGACCACCAAACTTTTCAGAATTCTTTAAATGTTTTATTTCTTTATGAACTCTTGTCCCAGCAGAATGATGACGTGTGTTTCGTGTGTGACTCTGAGGGAGATCTGGTGTGTTGTGACAAATGCCCACGAGCTTTTCATTCACACTGTCACCTACCAGCTGTAGATGGAGACTCACCTGGGTGAGAGAGAGAGAAAACCTTTACCTGGTCAAGACAAACTAAAAAGTTGATGTGTAATATTGTGTTTGCATGTACAGAAGCCAGTGGAGCTGCACATTCTGTGTGAGAAAGAATATGGAGGATTCCAGTCGAAAGACCCAACAGGACGTTTTGAGCAGTCCAGTCTCTCAGTACACACAGGTAAAAAAGATGTCCTTCCTGTCTCCCTGTAAGCCTGTCTTAGGCATCTTACATTACGGACATTGCAGTTTATTGCTCTGTTCACATCTGCAGTCCTCATGCCTCCTGCAGCAGGAATATGGCATGTTCACACAGGTGATCAGGGAGCCTTCAGCATCTTTCTCCTGAGTGTTTTTCAGAGTTCATAGAAAGGTCTCTTTAGTGTCCTTAAAGGTACACTATGCAACTTTTGGCCTCTATAGCAGTTAAAAAACAAAACTGCATGCATTTTGTGGAAGAACATGTTTTTGGTTGTGCTTTGCATGAGTGTCCAGATGAATATGGTTCTTTCTCATAAATAAAGAGAGAGAGAGAGAGATTACCCCCTATATTATATATATTATTACCCTATATTGAATATATTATAGTGCTCATAATATATTCACTACTATGCATGTGAGATATATGATTTATGTGGAAAGGATCTCAAGCTATTAGCTGAAGACGTTAATGTAGCTTTACCCAATAATAAACACGGTACTTCCTTGAAAATAAATTCCAGCACAGCTACAACAACCATCATGAATTGACCCTTCACAATAGATAATGCTTTACAATGAACTCTGTTGGAGAGCTACATATGGCAGTTTATCTGTTAAATAAAATACCTTACTCACCTGGCTGTTGAGTGATACAAACACCATTTCAGAGTCTCTTTTACAATATTTCCAATCCATCAGTTCTCGCCATCTCCGAAAAGCCAAACAAATGTTGATTCTCATTTCGTTACACGCTCTGTCACACTTCTCCATTTACGGATATGACGAATTACATTGTACGCAATATTCTCTTTTTGCCAGCAGACTCTCCTCTGTTCTACGCTTTTATTTTTTTAAATGTGTGATTCCTGGAGGTTCAACATTTAGCTGCTCCATGTCAACCTTTCTAGTTCGTTGTGACTAACCCGTTATGCCGTCCCACACCGTAGTGTGATGGACTGTTCCACAGGTGCAATAACTGTTTATGGTTCATGAACAAGCATGAAAAACATTGTTTAAAACCTCCAGTAAAGATCTGTAAAGCTTTTTTTGGATTTTACAAAATTATCTTTAAAATACAGCATCCTGAGAAAGGGTCATTTCTCCTTTTTTGCTTTTTTGGGGGGGGGGGGGGGGGGTGAGTAGGATATTTTTAGCCAGATGGCATTTACACCTTCATCCAGTTTTACTCCTGTGTGATCGTTTAGAGGAGATTAGAGTGATCTAATTTGAGTGGGTCTTCAGTGCATTTACACCTGGCTTTCAATGTTGTCAAGTGTGATCATGAAATGATCATGATACATGACAGATGATGCACATAGACTACACTGTTTTAACACCTAGTCTGTTTTTTTCCCCAGCACTGCCAGTGTTTGCTGTTACAACTGCTACATGACTGCATGACTGACTCCTGCACTAATGTAAATCTCTTCTTTAGCTTCTTCATCTGTCTCTATTTGTCATTAAATGATTTATCTGTCATTATTTAAAGGTCTTATATGTGATGTTCATACATGTGACGTCTGCACTGCTGGTGTTCAGGTTCCAGGATACAGTAAGAATATTTGTGGTCCCATGATGCTGGGCAGAGTGAAGCTGAAGCTGGAAAATAACGATTATCAAACAGTGCAAGAATTTGTCTCAGATATTAGACAAATTTTCAACAACTTTTGCACCTCCAGCGCAGTGAGTTTTTTCAACTTTTTCCAATGTTGAAAGAGTCTTAACTTTTTTTTGCAATGTTGTCTTATATATTCTCTCTCTCTCTCTCTCTCTCTCTCTCTCTGTAGGATAATGACTCCAGTAGAATGACCTCTAGACTGAAGGAAGTATTCAATAAGGAGTTTGAAACAGTCTTTAAGCTCTTATAACATCATGCTGTGGGTTGAATTTGTTTCTACACCCAGGGACGGACTGGGGCTAAAAAACAGCCCTGGACTTTCTCCCAAATAGGCCCATCATCCAGCCATTCGCCCCTAGCCACTAGGATGTCCTGATACTATGCCACAATACTGTAACCTATATCAGACAAGGTATTCACAGCAAGTAATATCTCAAAAACAATGATGACAATTGGGGTTTTGTTTATTAACCTCAGTCTTCAAATAAAAAACAACAAAATGTACAATGCCATTACATCTGCATTGAAAATAAAATACAAATAATGAAATGTCACTGGCTACAGAAACCCTAATTACACAAACTTGTAATTATAAAACATATAGTTACTATATACCAGGGGTCTCCAACCTTTTTGTGTGCGAGGGCTAAAGGGATAAAATAATCTAGAAGGGCTATACTAAAAAATATTTATTATACATATAACATGGTGGTGTTTTTTTTACCTTACCTTTACCTTTACTTTTAACTTTAACTTTTTTACTTTTCACCATCATATGCGAAATAATAAAATATCTTGATATTCTGGTTCAACAATTCCTGAAAAAATTGTAATATATATATATTATTCTCTAAAAACCTATTGTAGCATAAACATTTAGTATAAATATTTAATGCAAAATAAATAAATAAACTGCCATAACTTCTAAACAAAAACATTACTGCATTACATTTAATAGCCTACACTTATAGGCCTACATGACTATTAATATAACAGCATTTTTAATATGAATACAGGCACATTTCTGCCAAAAAATTTGTTTTACTAAGTTACAGTTAATTCATAAGTTGTGGAGTGAAATGTCTTCTAACTGGTTTGTTCTTGGAACAATGTTTCACCTGTTTTTTTGCGTCAAGATGTTGAGAATATCAGCGCTGTTTAATCTGGCTTTTAACTAGCTTAAATCACAGCCATCTGTGGGTTTATAATAGAGATAGAGAATTCTGCACTGAATTGAAATGCTTCTCAGTGGATCGCGCAACTATGTGTAATAATGTTCGCGTGATCGAGATCAGTCCGCACAGCTGCTTCGGCCGCGATCGCAGTTTTTTTGGGCCGAGCTGATAATGCTCCGCGCTGGCATCCAACTTAAAGGTGCATTGCTGCCACCTACAGTACTGGAGTGTGAAACAGATTAGTGGGGGGAAAAAACAGGTTATGACTGCGTGTGTGGCGGGTGGTGGGCCGGCCCGCCGCCGTCCTGGAGTACCGGCCGTTCTGTGATACTCCAGATCACACAGATGGCCAGTCCGCCCCTGTCTACACCCACTGTAAACGTTTCTCTTTGTGAGCTTTGGTTCGAGGGGAATGAAATGCAACCATGCCAGTGTTTCCAGATTGAGTGGTTTTGAATTTGATTGTGCGGGAAAAATTGGTTTGGGCGGTGTAGTGATAAATTGTATACTGAAATTAACCACTAGGTGTCAGTAGTATAACACTTACCTGTAGAGTGTGGTGATTGGAAGCCAGTGTAATAGAAGTTTGGTTGCTGTTCCTGTTATGGACCTGAAAGGACAATAAAAACAAGTTTGTTACAAAACTGTTTCTTCACTGGATTACGAAACATTACATGGTACCATGAGAGAGGTTGATCACCAACTCTGATAGTCGTCATGGAAAGTGTTAAAGGGATAGTTCACTTTGAAATTAATTTTTGATATGTTTTAGCTTACCTCAAGGGCATCCAAGATGTAGGTGTCTTTGTTTCCACAGTATTTTCAATTTTGATATTTTTATGTCAAACCGTTCTTGTCTGTCAGTCATATAATGCAGGTCTGTGGTCACCACCTCAAAGAGCATGCACAGAGAAGTCCAAATTAAACATGATTTAATGACTCGTAAATGTAAGTACACATTGATGGCCTAAGACACGAAACGAGCGGTTTGTGTGAGAAAACGAACAGTATTTATATCATTTTTACCTCTTGTAAACACAGCCACGTCCAAGTGATCTGAGGTCGCGGGCGCTTCGGTCTTTTCCGGAAAACACCGGAAGTGATCTCTCGCATGTATACGTCACTCATTGTTTACACAGAACAGAGATGGTAGGTAAGACGGCTAATTAAAAGGGTACTAATTTGCGCTTATCCGGGATGTTTAAACCGTCGTAAAAGAAAACAATAATAAATAAATAAATAAATAAAAACAATTGAATGAGTGACGTACATGCGCGAGAGATCACTTCCGGCTTGCCGGAAAAGAGCGAAGCGCCCACGCCCTTAGAACACTTGGACGTGGCTGTGTTTACAAGAGGTAAAAACGATATAATACTTTTCGTTTTCTCACACAAACCGCTCGTTTCGTGTCTTAGGCCATCAATGTGTACTTACATTTACGAGTCATTAAATCATGTTTAATTTGGACTTCTCTGTGCATGCTCTTTGAGGTGGTGACCATAGACTTGCATTATATGACTGACAGATAAGAACGGTTTGACCTAAAAATATCAAAATTGAAAATACTGTGGACACAAAGACACCTACATATTGGATGCCCTTGAGGTAAGCTAAAACATATCAAAAATTAACTTCAAAGTGAACTATCCCTTTAAGCCGCCTGACGCTGTGAACTGGACTGGAAATATTGATCGCGAATGGTGTAGCCTACGTTTAAACAGAGATTTGCGCCTACTTGCAAGCAGTGGGCCTTGATGAAGCACGGATGCACATAAGATTGCATACGACGTGGTAATGGAGAAGTTTGATTCACACTGCACACCGAAAAAAACAAGACTTTTGTAAGGTATGCTTTTCGTTATTGTCTACAACTACAGGGAGAGACTTGACAGTTTCTTAATTGATTTAAAGTTGAAAGCAAGGACATGCCATTTCAGACTGTTGCATAATTCGATGATCCGAGACCAAATTGTGTTTGGCATCACTGATAAAAAAGTGAGGGAGAGGCTTGTAGCGATTCTTAGCTCAAATAAAGGGAATATAATTTTAATGACTGGTCATGATTATGTCCAGTAATCACATAGCCTACATAGCTTAAAATTAGCCGTAAAGGGAATAAGTTAATCACGGTCGCTATGGACAACTGAATACAACGAATTATAGTCCGTTCCCTTTCGAGGGAACTCTCGATGCGTCACTTGACGCTTTGGGAACGCCCCCAGCGTGCATGCGTCTGAGCATCAATGTCAACTAGTCCAATGGAAAGAATGAGCGTCACGGGCGGGTGACGTCATGACCAGGAAGGGATAAAGGCTCACCCGGTGAAACGCGGCATTAGCTTCTGTGTCTCAGCAAGCGATCTGTGTCATTTTGTCTCTGTCTATTTACTGTTGTCTGTTGCGGAAAAGGATGGAAACTAAACAAGTGTACAAACAGTGTGCTTCTCCCTGCCCGCGTTATTTAACGGGTGGGGACACACACGAGCTTTGTGTCGTTTGTTTGGGAGTGGAGCATGCGGTCTCAGCCTTCGAGGGGGCTGAGTGCCAGCATTGTGAGATGTTACCGCTTCGCATGCTCCGCTCTCGCCTGTCACTCTTTGATAAAGAGACACAAAGGTGGATCAGGACCCGCGTCTGCTGAGGCAGCGCGGAGATTGCATTCCTGGGGATCGCAAAAGGAACTTTCGGAGGGGTTGGAGACGGGTCCGAGGGCTCTTTCTCCTTCCTTACCCGAGAGATCCAACGCTCTCCCCCCGGTGTCGGAAGCACGCTCTGCGGTTTCTTCCGCCCGGGGAGAGAGCCCTCCATTACTTTATTGCTCTTCCTCCGAGGAGGTTGATGCGATGAGTTTGGAGAGTGAAAGCACACACATGGGGGAAAGAGATTCACAATTTATTTCCCCAGCATATGATGAGCTGGTGGATGTTATGTCGCGGGCTGTAGAGAAATTAAATATTGAATGGCCATCTGAGAAGAAGGGCGCTCGTCCTAAAAGCAAATTAGATGAGCGCTTTTTATCTTCCACCACATTATCTCCACCACGAGGGCTTCCATTTTTTCCCGATTTGCCCAATGAAATATCTAAATCGTGGAATAAACCTTACTCATCACGTCTTTTCAGCCCTCAAGTTAACACTTATTCGAGAATAAGAGGGCTGAAAGAGTATGGTTATGAGGCGATGCCCCAGGCGGAAGAGAATTTAGCCAGTTATCTTTCCCCTGGTCCCGCATCGTCTCTGAAAGCCTCGGCTTTGCCCACTAGACCGCTCAAAGCCACTTCGGTGTTAGTGGGCAAAGCTTATACGGCAGCAGGTCAAGCTGGAGCATGTCTGCATACTATGGCAGTGCTCCAGGCTTATCAAGTTGACCTGCTGGGGGATCTGGATATTAGTGAGGGAGTCAGTCATGACGATATTCGTGAACTTCGTCGGGCTACCGATCTTTCTCTCAGGGCTACTAAGGAGACCGCCAGAGCAATTGGGCGGTCTATGGCAGCCTTGGTAGCTACTGAGAGACATTTATGGTTAAATCTGTCTGAAATTAAAGAAAAAGATCGAGCTTTTTTATTAGATGCTCCGCTTGAACCTTCTGGTCTCTTCGGCGACGCAGTCCACGCGGTCGTCGAGAGATTTCAGGAGTCAAAGAAACAAGCTGACGTTTTTAAAAAGTTTATCCCTCGCCGGGTCCAGCCCCCTGGGGCTGCTGGGCGTGAGCAGCCCCAGCCGTCGAGCTCATCATATCGTGTGCATCAGAAAGAGAGTGTTGCGTCTCGTGCACCTCCACGTAGAGACTGGAGACGGACGCAACCCTCTCAACCGAAGTCTTCTAAGTCGAAGCCGGATCTGAGGACCGTTCTTCAGGCGAAGACGACTTCGGTTCAAAAAAAAAAAAAAAAGGTCCTGATGTTCATGCATCAGGCCTGTGAGGACAGCCCCGACCGAAGTGGAGCGGTGTACACCTCATTATACGGTGCCCGTTCCATTTCGGGGTCCTCACGAGACCGTTCTGCCAACCCTGCCACCCTCGGTGCTTCAGGGCGCAGCGGTCTCCAGCGAGTCGCTGATGCTATGCTGCGGCACAGCATCGGTTTCGCGCCCTCTGAGGGGGGCCTTAGAGCGGCCAGTTCAGGTAGTTCCTGCCATTATGTTTCAGGCTCCGGAATTAGCCGTCTCGATAACACCAGAGACCAGCCTCGAGAGGCTGGTTTCCTTAGTAAATTTTCTGGCAGCGTGGAAGCTTCTGCCGAATATTTCTCGTTGGGTCCTGCAGATTGTAGAGAAAGGATACAGAATCCAGTTTGGTTCTCGTCCTCCTCGTTACAACGGGGTGCTGCCCACAGTGGTGCATCCCGAGCAGGCTCTGGTAATGGAGCAAGAGGTAAAGGCCCTGTTAGCAAAGGAAGCTATAGAACAGGTGTACTCACCCGACAGAGAGTCGGGTTTTTACAGCCGTTATTTCATTGTTCCAAAAAAGGATGGAGGGTTGCGTCCCATTTTAGATCTTCGTCTGTTAAATCGTTCAGTACAGAAACTCAAGTTCAAGATGCTGACACTCAAGCAGATCGTGACTCAAATCAGATCCGAGGACTGGTTTGTCACGATAGATCTGAAGGACGCTTACTTCCATGTCTCCATCCTCCCTCAGCACAGGAAGTTCCTAAGGTTTTCTTTCGGGGGCAAAGAATACCAATATCGGGTTCTTCCTTTCGGTCTAGCTTTATCACCCCGCACGTTCACGAAATGCGTGGATGCAGCTCTAGCCCCTCTCAGGCTTCAGGGCATACGTATTCTGAACTACATCGACGACTGGCTGATTCTAGCGGAATCAGAGCAGTTGGCGGTTCGGCACCGAGGTGTCGTTCTCGCTCATATGCAGATGTTGGGGTTGAGGCTCAATGCCAAGAAAAGTGTGCTTTCTCCAGTACAGAGAACCACTTTCCTTGGTGTGGTATGGGATTCAGTGACGATGCGGGCCACTCTATCGCCCGTTCGTGTAGCTGCTATCCTGACAGCCACCAAAGAGCTAAAGCTAAGCCAGTCACGCACTGTAAAACAGTTCGAGAGACTGTTGGGTCTTTTGGCGGCAGCGTCCAACGTGATTCCTTTTGGCCTGCTGTACATGAGACCTTTGCAGTGGTGGCTCAGGACCAGAGGGTTCTCCCCGAGGGGAAACCCACTTCGTATGATCAAGATCACGCGGCGATGCCTTCGTGCCTTGGTTATATGGAGAAAACACTGGTTCTTAACCCAGGGTCCGGTGTTGGGAGCTCTCTGCCATCGAGTTACGATCTCGACAGATGCTTCCCTCACCGGCTGGGGAGCGGTAATGGAAGGCCGCTCGGTTCAGGGTCGGTGGAGGAGTCATCATCTTTCTTGGCACATAAATTGCCTGGGGATGATGGCCGTCTTCAATGCGTTGAAGCAATTCCTCCCAGACCTGAGGGGCCATCATGTGCTCGTCCGTACAGACAACACATCGGTGGTCTCTTATCTGAACCGTCAGGGGGGTCTGCGGTCGCGTCCGCTTTGCAAGCTGGCGCACCAGATCCTCCTGTGGTCTCTGGGGAAGGTACTCTCCCTGAGGGCAGTGTATATTCCTGGGGACCAGAATATTGGGGCAGACATCCTGTCGAGGCAGGAGCTGAG